TTACATGGATCTAGATGAGCTTAAACACGCACGCACACACACACACACACACAAACACACACAGATGCCGACAACACATGCACACACTACATTCCCTCAAATGATATGCACGCATGCACTTACATCCATGCATAGGCACATATTCCCTGCTGCTACATAATCTGTGATTGTGTCCCAGGCCGGGTAGAGGGAGGGAGACAGAGAGACGGAGGAGGGAGGGAGGGACGAGATCCCTGATCTGCACTCTCATTTTCAGCCTGGAGAATCTGCAACGTGGACATCTGGGTCACATCATTAGAGCAATCTTCTGCTTGTTCATTCCCAGCTTTAAAGGGCTTAGAGTGACAGACCTGCAACAAGCATTCACACAAAGCACACACACAAGGATACAGATATATACAGCATGTAACAGTCGTGAGCAGTGAAATAAATCATGTCTAAAATTGATGGCTGATGGGTGGGGTCTTCAGTGACACAGATGTTAAGATACAGTAAAGATATTAAGCAGAATGCACATGCTGTTAAAACAAGGTTTTAAACTATTTTTGAATAGCTGATATAAATATGTCACTAAATAGATTTTTGAATATAAATAATTATAACACACTGTCACACTGATCTGCAGAACTCACCTGTCAAAATTTTCTTTTACCTTTACAGTTAGAAAACGTGCTTAGAGCCGCAGAAGCTCTGGGCTCCGTGTGGTGCAGCTGCACCGCACTCTAGTGGTGATAAGCTGGTTTCACAATAAAGCAGCAGTTCCAACTGTCGACCGGTAGGTGGCGCTACTGAACAACTTACCTGAAAGGACTGAAGCTGCCAAGAGCACCTTTGTCTTCCACTATATTTATCTTTGCTTCTTTCTGTGCTTGTGCTGCAAATGTAACAACCTCATTTCCATTAAAGGTTATCTTGTAAATGTTGTTGTTTTTATTGTAGATGTAGTCACAGCAGGTGTGTATAACCAGAAAATGATAGCCTATAAGAAAAAAAAACTACATCCACAAAAATGTTACATGTTAGCAGTTAAGGAGCTATGTCCAACTAGTGTTTTTTTAATTCTACATGTCTCTTTTTATATTATCTTGTGTTTCTTTCTCTATCACTTTGATTTACCTTGTTGTTGAAAGGCAAATAAACCTGCCTTGTCTTATGTTTGGGGGAGTTTTATTATACACAACAGTACAAAGAATACTAAACTGTATGTTTGGATTAGTGTAGCCTATTACCTCAGGCAATGAAAGAAAACTTGTCCTTCAGTCATGAGAATATAGAATATTACACAATCAACATTACACAATCACGCTTAACTGGATATATTTGATGTCGAGTCCTAATGACCTCTTCTTTCGTTATATTGACACAATCCCGCTTTAATTCTAACATATTCCAGTTTAGTTCAGTATTGAGGGTCCGGTCTGTACTTTATTTCGCTTTCATCAATGAAACAGTTGACAGGAACTAAGAAGACAGTGTGTTTAGCATGTGCGTTTAGAGGTACCTGAATATATCACCACAATTGTTAAGGGGGGGGTTACCGTGTGACGTCATCATACACAGGAAGTCCCTCTGACTCAGCTCGGGGGTTTCGTCAACAGGTGAGGTGAGTCTAAAAACTCTGCTCCAGGTGAGGCTCGAACTCACAACCTCGGCATTGCTCTGCTGAATACTGTCATATAAGTACCGCGCGCTAACCGATTGCGCCACTGGAGCTTCATGGTGGCTCGGGCTGGAAATGAGTTTAAGACTGACAAACGTCCATGTGACGACAACACGTTTTCTAATTTGATTTTTCTTTGTTTTTAATCAACCTAACGTTTGAAATAATGGTGACTGCATGAGAACGTCACGGGCCGCAGGTGGTCAGAGAGTCCAGCAGCTTAATTACCCACAGCCGATTTATGTGCTGCGTTCACGTAGGCTACCTCTCACAAAGCTTCCTTCAACAGTTGTTTTCTGTCTAAAAGTATTTTTTTGTGTTGACTGAGTATTTTAGAAAGGAAAGAAGGATAAAATATCTCAGCATCATCATCACCACTTGCAAAATATTTTACACGGGATAAAACAAACGGCAAAGTAAATAAAAACTAGACGAAAAATCAAAAGGGGTGTGAGGTAAAACGCAACTGCAGATTTGTCACAAATAACTTAATAACTAACTCTTTGGGTGAAGTCATACAGGGTTTGTAAAATAATGTCTCTGGTAAAACACAGTTTAAAGAGGTGGTAATATGCTCATTTTCAGGTACATAATCTTATTAAGGGGTTATACCAGAACAGGTTTAGGCTAAATGGTTTTATTTTCAAAAAACACTATATTTTTTATCACACTGCTCATTACTGCAGCTCCTCCACACCTTGTGTGTTGAAGGCTTCGTTTTAGCTATAGATATCTTTGTTTTAGCTATGGAGAGATGCATCTTGCCTCTACATGATCTTTGTTGTGAGTTGCACATGCGCAGTTCCTAGTTAAGGACCACTAGCCAATCAGACGCAGTGTAGGGCAGGTCGTGAGAAGCCAGTAAACACGGTGGTGGTTCAGCTGTTCATTAGTGATGTGCCATACCACTTAATTCCTATATGATCCTATACCAAGTAATACCCATGCCGGTATTGCTGATACCGATACCAATACCAATACTTTTTACATATTTTATTTCTAGTTTAATGTGACCTCCCCACTCCCGTTTCTGTATTTATGAGAGAAATAAGGAGTAGGCTGTAGCCTTACCAATTCAAAATAATAGCTGCATAATGACAAGACATCGAACTACATATTCTTTAATTATAATTAAAATATCCTGCTCAGAACGGCCGCTTCTTAACATCATCCTATTATTGTGACAGACTTTATCTCAGATGTTTAGTGAAGTTTGCGGTGTTGTCAAAGTATTTCACTGTCTTTGCACACACATTACATAGAGCAGCATTATTGCCTTCACACCTAAAATACAGCCAGACGTGACTGTTTTTACAGTCAGCCAGAGTCAGTATTCAATCGCGGCAAATGTAAAGAGCTGCAGCGGCTCAATACAAAGAAGCTCCGTCACAGAGCCGTAGTGCAAGCATGACTGTGACAGGCAGAAGGAAAAGTAGTTCCTATCAACCGAGTATAATTAGACCATCCTGGTGACAGTAACGTTTACCAATGACGTTGGTATCAGAAATATCGATACTTTAGGATTGATCCGCACATCACTACTGTGTATCCCCTTAGGAGCTTATCAACAAGGACTGGAGCAAGAGTTTCAGAGTTGTGAGTGATTAATTTGTAACAAATGTATCTTTCATCCATAAAGTTATAGCGGAGCACCGTCTCTACATCACAGTAACAACTTTATGTCAATTGACTGCCTTGAGGGTAGCTAATGTTTGGAAGGGAGAGGAGAGGCAGCAAGCGGACATCTTGTCACTGTGTGCTGCAGCAAAGTGTTTTTCCACCAGTGTTTTTGAGGGTGTGTGGGACTAGCCGCTTGGCGAGTGTTATATCATGACTGTGTCATCACAGGGAAGAAAGGGAAACGGCTGGACTACAAACCGGCTGTTTTCAGGCAGTTCAGAGCAGTGCTTTCTGTGGGAGATGGGAACTCCCTTTGGGCTGGACTTTGGGCTTTTTCACTTTGCAAACCTGTTACATACACAAAAAAGATATATAACTCAATAAAGGAGAGGGAAAAAAGCTTACAAGCATAATACCACCTCTTTAAAGCAGCCATTTCTTAAAAAGACCGCAAGATGGGTCTCCATATAGTGCATTTTCTTTTTAATGCCAACTTTGGGACATTTGCCTCTTCTCCAATGTTAAAGAACCTCAGTACTCCCAAAATCAACTGGAAATATAAGCTACCAACATCACAAAAACATGTATGATGTAAAAATGTAAAATATGAAGAAAAACTAATTTAAGTTTTTCCACTTTGGATACACAGAGCACAAGTGACCATGTCCCAAACTAGGATATCATTTAAAAAAATTAGAGCAACAAATGATAAGATGGGGCTGTTTTTGTTGTTTTTGCAGCCCCACATTGTGATTCAGACCAGTAAGACAAATGTATGTTCACATAACCAACATAACTGTGAAACCAAAAAAAGATGACAAGTTTGAGTTTATCAGAGAGTGAAAATATCAATGCAATATCATACTAATGAATCATATCCTGTATATTTCATTTTGTGAGATGAAGATCTTCTCCTGTTTCAACATAACAATGCCCCAGTGCACAAAGTCCATAAGGAAATGATTTTCTGAGTTTCATTTGAAGTCAACTGACCTGCACAACCCCTTCCAACACCTTTTGGGATGAACTGGAATGCCAACTGTAAGCTACAGGCCTCAGCGCCCAACACTTTGTGCCTCAATGAGAACAAAATCTTGTGGATAGCAGCATATTAATCCCCATGTCTTGGGTGTCCGCAAACTTTTGGCCACTACAGTGTATATACTATCTAAAAGTACTCCAATATTGAGTCAAATGTGCAGCTGTTACAGATGACATGATGAACATGTTACATCTACTGAGGCTTTTTCTAATCCCCTGTAGTCCCACATGCCTGTAGCTGAAATCCAATTACAACATGTCAGGTTCAATCTAAATATTGCTGTTCACGCTCTCCCTCTGTTTCTGATTTTCACCTTCAGTGGGAATCACAGACTGTAAAGAAAACATGGTGGAAACAACAACACCCAGCAGTTTCAGCAGGCAACACACACACACACACACACACACACACAGTGAATTAGCTTGAGGCAGGTTGTAAGCCTCCAAGAACGTGATTTATGTTCTGAGCGCTTTCCTCATTCCTCAACAACTGTATCAAATTGCATTATTTTGTGGGGTATTTCTCGGCATCCTCACAAAGGCCACAGTGTGTATCAGGACCCATCTATTACACTCCCCCTCAAGAGCAACACAAAAAGAGACAGACAGACGGAGTAGGTGGCTGGGAGAGGGGGCAGGCTGTCAGTATATAACATCACAAAATCACTGGACACCATAATCTCTGTCATTGTTCTTGTTTTTTTATTATTATTATTATTCTTAGCATATTCATAATTCAACACATGACATACAGGAAACACTAACATAAACATTCTGAATGAAAGAGAAAAAATCATGTGACCCAATCGGTCAGCAAGAGGCTCTCACCTCAAAGACATGCGGCGGCGATGCCAGTTTTAAAACTCATAATTAAACACACCTGAAGGCTGGACGGGTTAACCTGCAACCTTTTGAGGCAACGCCTTCTGGCAATATTGTCATGCAGCGGGGGGGGGAGAGAGAGAGGTCTGACAACAGGATAAACTTGACTGTTGGCTTTAAAGATCAAATGCAATGAAAAACATACATTTTAGCAAACAGCTGCTGGCAAAGTTGCTCATCCTTTTGCCTAAAAATGTTGCTGGTGCATCGCAGCCTTGAGGAAAATATGACAGATCCATGCCCTTTTCTGCTGCAAAGGAAGTGCTTTAGTACCCATGTTAGGGCTAGGTAGGTACAGTCGGCCATAGAAATAGGATGAGTAGATTTACAGTGCTGTAATGAGATATACAATATATTATACACTGGCTCATGAGGGAGGCTTATGCTGTTTGATGTAAGCTGGCTCTATTTCTTTGCCTTGTTATATTTTCAGACCTGCAGATTTGTCATGAATAACTGACAGCTTTTTTGGGTGAAGTTATAGAAGGTTTGTAAAATAATGTCTCCAGGTAATCATTCTTCAACACCGGCTCCAGCTCACGGATTTAAATTTCAAGAAGAGCGTGAAAAAACTGCAGGTAAAACACAATTTAAAGCAGCCGTTTTATTAAAAAAGCCGCCAGATGGGTCTCCATGTAGTGCATTTTCTTTTTAACATCAACGTTGGGACATTTGCCTCTTCTCCAATGTTAAAGAACCTCAGTACCCACAAATACAATCCCACCCACCCCCTCCCTTCCCATCCCATCCTAATCTAACCCCATGCCCCTCCCAAAAAAAACCAACTTTATACAAACTGATAAAACTTCACAACAATTCACCATCAACACAAAGGTCACACAAAGTTCCGTCATTATGTCCATCCATAAAAACCAAGAACAGCACAATTCAACATCCCCTCGTACTGACACACACACACGCACACACACACACATGCACACACACATGCACGCACACACTCATGCATACACACACACACACACACACACAAATACAGTATGTACACACACAAACACATTCCCAGGGGATTAAAGACAGGCAGCACTTGCAGTCAGGTCAAGTGTATGTGTCTATTGCATCACGGCATCATCACATCCTTCTGTTGCCAAACAGTTAAGATAGCTTGTTTAAGTGTTGTCAAGGATTATAACCGTAATTTTAAGGACAAAAAGCAAAGGAGGGTTCGAGGATTTAATGAGGAGAATTGAAGGAGGTGAGAATTTGTTAGTGTATATGTAGTAGGGGTTGGGGAGGTCGGAGGGTCCGCGTCCAATCAGTCGTGGATGACGATGGGGCCTCGCATCCTCAGGCTGGGGTGAGGGTGCGGAGGGGCAAGGACAAGCCCCTGAGGTGGGCCCTGGGAGACCCTGCGCAGGGTGATCTGCTCGCAGGGCTGCCGGCAAGCGTGCCTGAGCTGGGAGCGGGACAGTAGCCGTCTGGCTCTCCTGGAGGGGTGAAGACAAGACAGGACATAAGTGCAGAAGAAGATACACTGATGCAAAGCAAACATCAGTATAAATTTTACCTTGGAAACATTAGTTTGTATCAGAAACAGTCAAGTAGTAGACAAAATAATATAAAATAATTTCAGCAGTCAGCCCAATGACTGTTTCCAAGGTCAAGGATGAACCTTTAATCCCCAATTTTTAAGACAACATCAACCTTAAAGCACTCAGGAAAAATATATGGTTCAATGACAACTGGGCAACTTCGTCTGCTGAGGAAAATGTGTGATCAAAAAGCTCTAGAACTAACTCTTGTGGTGACATTGTTCATCAAAATGAGCTAGAGTTGATTTGTGAGCTAATTATTTTTGGAATACTTCTTATTAAACCTATGTCAATCCCTATTTTGTAATTTCCTATTTCCAAGTTTGCATCATGCCTCCTTCTATAGAGCCTCTGTTCCCATATTTTATGTAACTTAATATGTTTTCTTTTCCATTCATGTGTTCTTTCATCAGTCTTTATGAAAAGCATGTTCTGCAGTTTTCTGCTGCTGTGTTAGATGGTCACATTTGAACACTGTCATTTTAAAGCAGCATGCATTTGTTTGGCCACCTGGTGTCAGCAGAGCAAGCTGTAACCTCAGCATTGGCATATTATCATCCATATGTGAAGTTGTTAAGTGTTAGCAAACACTAATTTGAAGTCATGTTTTGTGTCCACCTGATGAAACTCAAAATGCACAGTCTTTTAGCTTTATTTTGTTAAAAACTAAAAGCGATCCGCCTCTTTAGCTGCTAAATGCTATGCTCATCAGGTAGTGGTTAACTAGGCAAGTAGCACACAGTGAGTTTTAGAGCTTTTCCCCCAGAAACAGCTGCCTACTGTGGCTGAAAATCAGAATCAGAATGACCTTTAAAGGTATGTGTACACATTTGAGGAATTTGACTCAGCACTCAGAGCACAACATATGTTGTGGCTGCACTGCATTCTGGTCTGTTGAGTTTACTGATATAAAATAAAAAAATTATATCTGCCTCTGACCCATGGAAAAAGTTAACTTACTGTTTAAAGGAAAGGTTTAATATTTTGGGAATTACCCTCATTCACTTTCTTAATAAAAGTTACATGAGGAGATACCACTCTTTTGTCTCCAGGTAATTATGAAGTTACCACCAGCAGCCAGCTAATGTAGCTTGTTCTTCAGATTTTGTACGGATTAAGAAAATAAATACAAGATATAATTGGTCAATTAGTGAGCTATGGAGCTTTTGGAAGTGTTTTGTTAGCTTTTGAGAGTCATGCTAGTTGTTTCCCCTTCCTGTCTTTGTGGAAACAAGACACATCTAAAACTCTGCAAGAAAGCAATTCTTGCATTACAAAGCCTAATTGCTGTTCTGTGATTTGGGAAATTTGGGCTTTTAGATTTGATCTTGAGATTGTTTTGATTTATTTTCTTTAATCTGTTTTAACCACGACATCTCTGGAGATACACTGTCTCTTTTACAAGACACGCATGACATGCTTGACTATTTAAAATTAAAGTTTCATTCTTCATGAAGCATTTTATTTTGGTCTTTGAGTGCCTGATATTTCACATTTAGCAGGCAATAATTCATGATTGCATCTTTATGCTTCAGCAAGTTACAGTAGTTAAGCCTGCGGATAATGTTTGTTTGAATACATTATTTATACGTAGTTGATCACAGGCTTCTAGCTATTTGTCATTACTGCAGCCACCTACTACTACTACACATACTGCCATGTTATAACAACAGCCTGCAGTAAAAAGGGTGCAAATACATAGAAACAATGGTGAAACTGGCTTTCGGATGTGGGCTTTATGAGACAGCGTATTTGTCGTGTATATGACCTTATTGGTTTACCAGCAGTTGGACAGTGATACATGCAACTGTGATACATGATACTGGAGTAGTTAATCACTTGATTGTTTGGTTGTAAAAATGTTGTAATTACTTGACCTTTTATTTTGTTTTAAGCAAGGTCTTCCTATCGATGGTGTCTGTTTTCTGTGTTCAGCAGACATAAAAAGCAACAGCTTTACAGTAACCAACGCATTCAAGACATAAGATGGAAAAAGTAATAAAGAGAGAGGGCAGAAAAGTTCACTTTAAGGGCATCAAATTGAGGATTCCGATGAGAAAGTAAATAGAAGCAACCATTTTTTTCTTATTTCAGGAGGATCCACTAAAGCAGAGTACAACATTTATTGAGCACCAGGATTAGACTTACTAATACACATCTCTGTTGTGAGGTAAGAGAGAGGTGCATCTCTGCAGGATTTTCAGGCTTATAAAGGAGCTCTGTGGTAATTTCCAGACTGCAGTTGGCTTTGGGCTGTGACAGGAAGTCTCTTTTAACAGGCCACAGCAACCAACAGCACTAAAGCCAAGACCATGGGGCACACTCACAAATATTGGACACAGCACTAATGGAATTCATTTGAAGGCAAATGCAAGATACATAACCACAATGTACTGTATGGGTGATTGTTCGCGGTTCCCTTTAGGCTGTCAAGAAAAACACTTTGAGATTTAATGCACAGCAAAGCCCTTTTGACATGCTCTCATTTTCTTCCTCTTTCACTGCTCTCTCAGCAGCACTGAAGATGTTTTTTTTCGTGAAGAGGAAAACACATCAGCTCCCTCCAGATCCCTGCTGGTAATAAAAGTAAGCACTAGAGCACTCATGATGACTCTGATGTACATTATGTACCCGTGCATCCATGGTAAATGTGTCAGAAAGTACATGCAACAGTACATCTACACACAGATCTTTCAATGACACAAAGAGCAGCACAATGAGCGCTGATATTGATTATTACACAGGATGACACAAGGATTGCCACTTAGAGTTAGAGCAGAATATAAACTGGAGAAAAGATTTGGCTCTGCTGGCACATTATCTAAAGCTCTGCTGTTTGTCTGTTCAGCTGGCTGTTGGGAGAAGGAGAGCAAACATGTAAATCCACGCTCAAACATATAAGGCTGTCTCATTTACATTTCTGGTTCTGTTTCCTAATGTTTGCCATTTCAGACTCTTTGTCCTGTTATTTTTCTGTCCACATTCAGCTTTTCAGTCTTGCATGTTAGTTACTTTGATAGAAGAATGACTCAGATCCCGTACTTTAAGTAAAAGTACCAATACTACAATGTAAAAATACACATTACAAGTAAACGTCCGGCATTCAAAATCCTATTTAAAAGTACATAAGTATTATCAGCAAAAATGCACGGGAAGTATTAAAATTTAAAGTACTCGTTTTGGAGAAAAATCTTTGCCGGGACTGATATATTATTATAAATGGTATTATTAGATACCCCGCGATGGACTGGCGACCTGTCCAGGGGGTACCCTGGCTTTCGCCCCAAGGTCAGCTGGGATTGGCTCCAGCCCTCCGCGACCCTGTACGCAGGATAAGCGGTTGACGATGGATGGATGGTATTATTAGATTGTTAATACTGATGCACTGATGCACAAGCAGCAATTTACTCGTAATGGTTTTGTGTGGTTAAGTAGTGTAGCCCAGTGGTTCCAAACAATGGACTGTATAAAAGAAGTGGACTTAACTAGAGACGTTTTATAGCCTATGAGGATTTTCACTTGGCCTCCAGGTCTGAAAAGTGCAGCCGATGCAGAAGTGCCTTAAAACTACATTCTTTGTAATGACCAGCAGGGGGCAACTCCACTAGTTGCAAAAAGAAGACGGATTGTGTAGAAGTCATTATAAAAATTACCCTACTTCTCACTTGATTTATTACCTCAGTAAACATTTTCCTAATGAGCTTATGGTATCAATCACGGGTTTCAAGTCTTTTTCAACACAGTATGATGTTCATTTTGTAAATTATGGTCCCATTTAGAGTTAAACAGATAATAAAGCAGGGCATGCTTTAGGCGTTGCTACCTTGTGATTAGATAGAGGCATAGCAATGCATATTCACTGCACTGTGTGCATTTAAATGAATGAATGAATGAAACCTTTATTAAATTAAATAGCTGTGAACTTGTTTTTGAGTGCTGCCTGTGTTTTCTTCTTAAAACTATGACACTTTCACAGTGTGTTTTCGGTTCATTGGTAGTACTCTAGGGAGTCAGCTGTTCATTTCTTCCGGAGAGTACATATTGTTTTAAGTATATTTTTCGCTAGCCAAAATTAGCATACCAATTGATATGTGAATGTGAATTACAGATGCACCTTGCTAACAAAGGTAGCTACTAAGCGTTTCCCCCACTCCTCCCCAGCTCCACCCTCTGGTCCAACTAGGTTCACTTCTGGCTTAAAAAAACAAAAATCAAGACGGAAACGGCCAAAATGTCAAACTCGAGTCTTCAAAATGGTAGTCCACAAACCAATGGGTGTCATGGTGGTTATGTTTACTTCTTTAACACAGTTTATGTTACCAACTTCGGGGTCAATCCCTGCCATAAATGTGAATAATCTTGACATGATTAATGTTGTAGGAAATACTAAATAAACATGTTTTGCTACATACATTTGTAGTCATTTCTGTCATTTTTGGTTGTTAATTCCCTGATTTTTCATCTAGTAGCATCAGTAAGCTGGCATTTTGATTCAGAATGAAATGTCTCAACAACTATTGGATGGATTGCCATAAAATTACCCACAGAATTATGACAGTATCATGATAATTTGTTGCTCTCCTGACTTTTCATAAGCTTCATCATCAGGTTTTATGACACTCTGTAGCACACAGTTATGCTAAGAAAAGTGAAAACTTTTTGTTTCCGTCTGTCTCTCTTGTCTCCCTGAATAAGTAGGAGTGATCTCCCACTCTTTCTCTCTGCTCTGTGACACACTGTGTTCTTCATCACATTAAGAGAGAGAACGAGTAGAATAAAGAGACAGAGAATGGGAGAAAATGAAACTTCCAATCATTTCTCATTAGCAGCAGCCTTTCAGAGCAGATCTATTAATGTCTTCTATTCAGAAAAGCATTTATTGTCTCTGCAAGGAGAAGGAATGACAGTATAATATTACAACAGGGACTGTATTAGGAATGATGCCATCTCTCTCACACACAAACACACAGCCATGATGATCTTGGTGGTAAGTGAGTGATCCATACGAGTGCAGCCATGGTTAATGTGGTGCCTGGCTCCTCGCTGGCCCATCTGCACCAGTTAGCTGCTCTAATTTTAGCCCCGACGGTCGGAGGGCGGCTGTGAGGGCCGGGTGCAATGGCTCATTTAGACACAGAGTTAATGGAAGAACATCTTTCTCTCTCACATACGGACATACAAACACTGAATCATTTTCTGCGTATGAGTGTCTATGTATGTGTGAGCAAAATAAAAAGAAACAGATTTTTTTATGTGTAAAACATAAAGGCATGTTTATTCAATTGTATATTCAATCATTTCTACAAGAAAATGTGTACCGATGATCAGTACTTGCAAAGAGAAGCCATGAAAGTGATTAAGCTGCTATTTGGGGTTCTTGAGACATTTGGATCAGCAGTTTTTAAAAAGACATTATTTCCAAAATGTGCTACCTGTATTACAGCCATTTAGGAAAGTTATTTGTTTACAAGGCAAACAGAAATCTGTATCAGCCTATATTATTCAGTGAAGCATAAAATTGGATGACGCAAAGGTGCTTTTAATGGAGGAATTAGTCAATTTTATCTCACATTCATTTGTTCAGCATCAACTAAATGCATCATCAAATCTTACATGTCTGCCCACAGTTTTATTTCATTCAATTTGAGTCTTAAAACACTGATGTCTCTACAAATGCAGCATGTAACAAGACTAGAAGTCTACAGCCATGCTAGCAGGTCTGTCAAGGGTGTAATCAGGCACAAGAGTGCTTTAAGCAAAAGGTATGATATGTTCACCATCTTTGTTTAGCTTATTAATATCTGCTGAATTGTACTAAACACAAAGTACAGCTGAGGGTGACGGGAATTTCATTAGTTTTGTGGTTATAAAGCAAGCAGCAACCTCCAAGGCTAAAAAAATTAAGCCAACGTGAAGTGGTACAAAGAAAATTGGTCTGTATAGCTAATTTCCCAGATCATGACAGCTGTATGGGGGGTGCATTTTATATACCTTCCCCTTTTAACTTGTATTAAGGCTTAATGTTATGCATAATTAAAGGATGGTCACTTTGAGTGACAGATGGGTGCCATCCCAGCTGGCTAGCCGCAGCAACCAGGACTATATTCAGCCCACCAGCGCGCCACCTCTTTGCCCATTTTAATAAATAATAATAATACATTTGATTTATAATGCACTTTACATTTGAGGCAAATCTCAAAGTGCTCATTTTTGGATTAGCTGTGAGTTAGGCATGTCAGACACTGCCAAGATGGCGAATGTCGGAGGATTTTATTGAGTGCCCACATTGAGCTTTACTATCGCTCCTCAGAAACCTATGGGTGACTTCATGGTGACTACACCCATGTTTTATATAGTCATGGTATTTAGTAGTAAACCAAAGTATTGGACAAATTAATCTTTTGCTGTTATATGAAAAGTTAAGGAATCAACTAAGTTATTACAATTTATCCTGAGGGGACCATGAATGTTTGTATCAAATTCTATGAAAATCCATCCAAAAGTTGGTGAGATATTTCAGTCATCTGGATCAATTTGGTGGACTGACCGACCAACATTGCTATGCTTAGAGCCACGTGGCAAGCTTTGCTAAAAAGTAAGTGAAATGATCTAGGCAGCAATAACTGAATGCATGTAAACCTGGCAGTGAAGCACTAGCATAAAAATTATACAATTTTAATTATACAGCCTCAAAAAACCAACTCAGCGCGTCTATGTTCGGGGGCGTAGCCAGGATTTTTACTCAGGAGAAATACTGAGGTCACAAGTTGAGGTTCCCCCAGCAACCCCATCTATAAAATTGTGTTAAATTATCATGTAGGTTCCTGCGGAAGCCCAGTACTGATATTAAATGTCATTTGGTCCTGCAGTGAGTATCAGGCTGTGCTGTCATAAAGCTACTGAGCCTTCTGACAGGTGACACAATACTCTAGCTCTGACCTAATGCACCTTTAAGCTGCCTCCAAATTCTACAAGCAAAGAGCAGACAGTGTCTGCTTTGTTGTATCTGCTTAGGCTGATCTAGAGTGGCTGGCCCAGGCGGCATGAAAGGCAACTTCATCTGAATGACATGGCCCCTTCTGTTGTCTAATAACCATCACTGAATCCTGCAAAGAATTTAATTTTTATTGGTCAGAAAATACTGAAAATCAGAAAAATGTCAAACTGTAAAATATAAAAATATCTTAACAGGACCTCAATGTCTGCAATGGTAGCAATAGTCCTGTCTATTTTCAATCAGTGTCTTCTGGGATACATTTTTCCCTGTGAACAAAAAAATATCTTAATTCAGTTTGTCAAAATTGGTGCTTTTCTAAGCTACATGACTGTTTTTAAGTAAATCTTTTATTTTTTATTCAAATCGATTTTAAAATTTTGAAAACTAGACCAAAAGACTCTGCAGGCGTCCCCAGGCTGCCACTCAGTTTCAAATCAATGGGTCTGTGTGAATTTAGGCACACATGTTTTGTGTTTGTGTGTGTTGGTGTGTTTGTGCGTACTGCACAGCAGTCTGAGGTCACCACCACCAAAAAAAACCCTCAGTGTCCTTTTCTGCCACACCTCAATTACTTGTCAGCTTTCTGCTCTGAGCATCACTTGCTTTCCCTTCACACACGCATACACACACACAGTCAGCTAATCAGAGGTCAGAAAAGGGTCACCTTTGCTTACCTGGTCTCCCGGGTGACAAGGAAGAAGCTGTCATCAGGGGCATCAATCCAGTTGGGGCGTCTCTTGCGGATCATCACTCCGCCTCGGGTGTTTCCACTGCTGCTGTTGCGGCCGTTATGCTGCAAAAAGACAATTAATGTAATCTTATTACAAACAGCAGTGATGCAGTTGTACAGGATATGTTAAAAAAACAAGTATAAGACACCTACCAGGAGGGGTCCACCTGTTGTACATGGGTTCTCTGCAAAAACAAGAAAAAGATGCACAGTATGCATGAGAGAATCTGTCAGTTGTGAATAGTATTGATTAGTTTATTACTTTTCCTAGTTACAAGTGGTGCAACAAATGACTGTGTTTCAATTTCAGTAAAAATAGTGAAGTTACCAATAAAAAACAAAGTGTCAGACTGAAGTTGAATCATCCAAATTATCCAAATGACCCCCATCTGCTGATTCGTTTTCATTAGAATTAGTTGTCATTCTCTCCAACGAGCTAGTTTAGATAAGAAATGGCAGAAAAGGTTATCAACTTCGGGTGTATTTCCACTAATTTGATTTTATCAAGCAAAAGGATGACAAGAACATTGGCTATCAATACTGTTTGGTCCTCGAGGTTAATTCACATCATAAGTAACTTAGTTAAAAGCAAGACGGGACGCATTTTCCAATTTTTGGGGGGGTTTAACAGATGTAATACAGGTTATGACTTTCTGCTTCTAGGCGGGATTAAGTTAAGCAACAATTATTGAAAAAACAAGTCATAATTAACTTTTGTGGAATTAGTTCAGCTCTGTTTTTTAAAGAAATGCATTTCTGTGTGTGTACCTGAGCGTCTGTCTGGCTCAGCCCTGCTGTGGTGATGGTAGCTGCGTTTTCCCAGCATGCCGTGGGGGCCGTGTGGGAGAGAAGAGAGGAGGCGTCGAGGGGGAGGCGTCTGCAGGCCCGCGGTGCGGTGGGAGCGAGGGGCATGGGCGGCCGGGCGGGACTCTGGAAGAGACACCACACTGGAGCTGCATCAACTGGCTCCTATAGACCATCTGAATAACATCTACTCATATTCCTGTGATTTGACACAGTACAGTGATTTACCTAGAAACTGCAGGACACTGGTCAGAGTGCTCCTTTGGGCGGCTCTGGTTTTGGGTAGGCGTGTTCCATGTCCTTCCGACACCCTTAACATGTCTAAACCAAACACACACACATATACACATTTTACAAAGCAGTACAGTGTCTCTCTGACTGCATAATATCACTCTATCTACTGAGATACAGTCTGACCATGAATACTAAACACTGTTTAACATTTCTGCAGAATAAAATCAGTCCTATTTACACAAGGATGCATTATGTAAATGAAAATGACCTCTTTTCGTGTTTAAAATGAATGCAGAGGTTCAACACAGGATGCAGGAATCAAGTGAGTAAATCACTCTGCGGTGTTAATGTGGTGACTTACTTTCAGGGATGGCACGTCCACTAAAGAATAATCTCTCCCACATGCACATACAGAGATGTAAGTACATGCTTACATGCACACACAAAAGAAAAAACATATTGTAAAACACACATACATTAAAATATGAAGGTATTATGACAGCAGGTGCTGAAGGTTGAGTCCATGCTGGGGGGGAAGGCGTGCCTTTTATGGTTCCTCCGAGTGTGGTGGAGTTGATGGACATATAACACGGGACACATGAAGCACAAGGACTCAGAAGAGATGCTTTCAGGTGTGACTTTATTGGAGGTCTACGCTCACATTCACACAGTGATGAAAGAAAAGAGCAAAAAGAGGTAGAAGATGAGATGAGAATATTGCAACAGTTGTTAGAAAATGAAAGAACAAGGTAGCAAAGTGGAGGGGAGGAATGGCTCTACATGGCAAATCCTGTCCACAGGATTCCAAGAGAGAGGAGGCAACACGATGGATTCATATGAATATTGCATGATTTGAACACAGAAGAGCAGCTGAGCGGATGGTATGGTGAGGGAGCATCCAAGAGGACATGGTCCAGTTGGTGACTCCATGTGGATAAGCCTGATCTGCAGTGGGAGATGTAGCCAGTAATAAAGAAGGCAAGAGCAGCTATTTATTCTTTGTACCAGACAAATAAGGTCCTTACTTCATCTTTAACCGCCCTTCTTTCAAGTGTCATCAGTCTAAAGCTCGTTATCAACTAAAACAGTTCATTTTGTCTAATACACACAAAAACACACATGATTAACAGCATGAGATAAAATGTGCGCGCAAAAAGGAACAGAAATGTGTTTTTTTCTTCTTTTAAAAGGGTGAGGGCAAACACACTGAAGCTGAAGTTCAGAATTTACAATAAACATTCGTGGCTGATACAACTCGCTCAGCCATGACAGCACAGAGCGGGCACGCCTGTAACAGGGGCGCTGTGCAAAAAAGTGCTTCTCTTAGTAAAATACATTTTCTCTACACCGAACTTCAGCAAATATACGTCTCAGATTAGAATATAACTTCATTTGGATCGTATTACAGTCCACTTGTTAATGACAGATGCAAAATCCCTTATCTGTGTATTTTTTTTAAGTGTGCGCAGGTGTGCTCGTGCAGAACAGCCCTGTTTAACCAATAAATATTTGTGTATAATTTGGACAATGGCTTTCAGTTCACAGTGAACAAGAACCATAACTGATAAAAGAATTAAAAAAATAAAAACACGGATGAAAAGATGATCAAAACTCATAGTTATGAGGACAGGCAGTCTTTATTGGAAACAGGGGGTGGGAGAGTACAAAAACCAAAATAATAATAATAACAATAATAATAAAACAGAAAGAGAGACAGACGGGGGCAGAGACAGGCAGAGATGGGGGTTGATGGCGGGGCAGTCAGGGTGAGGAAGGGTGGTGAGTGTGTGTGTTTCTGTATGTCTGCATATGTTTTGTCTTGTCTGCAGGTGTGTGTGTCCATAAGGCAGAAGTTAGGAGGAATTGAAAGAGCTCTTACACTCTGCCTTTATGGCCCCACAGTTAATGGGGACAAAGGGCCGGCGCGCAGCACGGCGCAGCCTGATGATGTCACGGCACATGTGCCGGGCCAGCTTGGTGAGGCGGGTGGCCTGCAGCAGGAAAGCCTGCTTGGTCTTCATGGAGGATTTGGGGCTGCCGCTGTTTCGCATTGGCACCATGTGGTTGGATTGGCGAGGACCATGACTCCGTGAGCGAGGCTCCTGGTAAGGAGGGAGGGGACAGAGAAAAGGCCACTGAATACAGTTGTACAGTAAATATATATATATAAGCATTTTAGGTGTTTTGATAACAATCTATTTTCTTAGTCAGGTTCTTACTGTGAGTGATGTGGTCCCACATAAATGGACCAACAGGTTTGGTTATTTTGCATGAGAGATTTCTCTATTTGGGTTTTGTCTCTTCTCACTGGTTTGAAGTGGGCGGGGCTCAGTTTTTGAGTGTTTAACTATGAAAACAAATACCCAATGATGATTTCCTCCAGCTTTTAATTCTTGCTTATTTAGACAGGAACACTTACTTTTAGAAATACTATAAATAGATATGAAATAAAGTTTTCAGGGACTTTAAAACTTCAAAGAAAATACCTGTTCACCCCACGTCCCAGTCAATTTCTTTTCCCATTACCCTCTACACAGTTACAGTGGACTTTATTTTTAAAGTATGCTAATGTTCCAGACTCACTGGAGCTGTATAAGTGAATTTGACAGCTGTTTACATGAGCAAAATACCAACATCATGCTTTAGCTTTTGAATGACAATGGAAAAAAAAAACAGTCAAAAAACAAAGTGTATTAGGTATGCCTAAAACAAATAAAGTCAAATAAAAACAGCCCAGCAATAAATCATACCTTCATGAAGGTTAATACATCCCATTTTTGTTGAAATAATTTTAGAGACATATTGCCTCAACTGTACGATCATTTTGGAGGCTGCAGTTTGTGGTGCTGTTTTGCCGTATATTTTGACCACCCTGTTTATTTGAATGCGGGAAACTACAGCTTCCAAACGACCATAAAGTTGAATCAGCACTTTTTCTAAAAACAATGTTGTCCAAACATTTTAACCTTCATTATAGTAGGATTTATTTCAGGGCTGTGTGTGTGTGTGTGTGTGTGTGTGTGTGTGTGTGTGTGTGTGTGTGTGTGTGTGTGTGTGTGTGTGTGTATATATATATATATATATATATATATATATATATATATATATATATATATATACAAATGAAAGTTGAATGTATGTAATTGTTACAGTTACTATGAACACTGCCAGCTGTAGACATAAACAAAATCTTTTAACTAGTCTGTTTTCCCCACGCAGTAAATGTGTAAGGCATGTAAATTCATTAATAGCTAATATGTGAGATATGGTATGTGTGGTTTTGAGCTCACTGAATAATTGATGCTGACAGATCACCTATATACTGTATATAATGTAAAATATTAAATAGCTGCAGTTGTGTGGATTTTTAGGAACTCCTTTACAGTGCTGTATTATATTTTTAGGTGATTTTAAACACGTTTTGAGGAACTGCAGCCACCGTGAGGTCTTCAGAATTCACCCTTCTCCCCCACTACATGCGTGTGTTTTACATCTGTGCCTTCTGACTGAGCTTACATTGCTTGCTGGACTGGGGGAGGTCCTCTCCTCTGGGCCCTCTGCTCTGCTGGGCATCTTCAGGCCTCCGTACTTCTTCCAGTACATCCAGCAGGAAACGCACAGGCGGCACTGCATGTTTGGAGGCCCCCATGAGTACCATTGGGCCGACTGCATGGCTGTTAATGTACAAAACGCATGAATGAAGATTAGAAGCATCGCAGGAGAAAATTGGTCCAAAAGACACTCAGCATATTGATCTCTCTTCCAGTGTCTTGAGTCCCTTTCTAAATGATTTTAGAAGTGTCCATACATCAGCCCCAGTCACACTGCATGTCACTGTCTATACAAATGTATTGGTAGGCAGGATAAAAGAAAACACGACTATTTAGTGGGGATAATCTGAGTTTTATTGTTTCTGCTCATTCGTTCTGTTTCTTATTGAATCCTGATACCGGGATTTGAAAGAAGATTACTTGGATCATATTATGGTTTAATCGTAAATTCTGAAATATTTTGTGATTCTCATTTCCTCTGCTCAAAGAATGAATGGTTGCAGTTCAGCTTCTAATACAAAAGGTAACACTTCCTGTGGCTGCATTATAATTAAAGGTTCAGTGTGTTTTAGTGGCATCTAGTGGTGAGGGTTGCGAATTGCAATTAATGGCTCACTGCATTCACTTGCTCCTCAGACGAAATAATAAGTACATTATAATAAATGTATTAATTCTAAAGGCAATTATAAATTCAGCAGTAAAAAAAAACTAACTTTGTACCTTTTCTCCATGAGGTTGTACATTATATCTATTTAATTTCTAAATCCAACAACAAAAAGGCTGTGAAAACTGGGACAGGCCTTTAATACCTCTTGCACAAAACAGGCTACTATGAAACAGTTTATTTATTTCAAACAGAATATTACTTGTATAGAAATTATCCAATAATATCAAATACAGCTTTACTTTGAAGGCAGCAACTTAACGAAAATAACAACACGGTGAAGGATGAGAGAAGTGTGGCAGACAGACAGAGATGAACTTCTAGACATGACAGAATTTACAACTTGGATTAATTTTTATGAAAAGCTGTTTTGATCGTTTTTAAAATCAGTGGACCCTTACAGACTAAATGAATATAATTAATCAAGGAACGGACACATTCGGACTTAACGAGCGCTTTAAAGGTAACATGAGTCAGCACTCCCCCCCTCCCCCTAATCTCTTGTACCATTCAGGTTACACCGGTAAATCTCTAAGAACTAGACTTTGGGGCTCGTTGTTTCCGTTAAATGAACTGAACAATTGAATTGTGGAGAATCTAACCGATCTAGCGTGTAGCATGTCCATCCTGACATATTGATCATACGTTTAAACAGTAATATTTGTATTAACGATTTAAGCAGCTTAGAAACAGCTAAAGCAGGCAACCCCGCAGGGTTTAAGAGGTTTTATACATCCAAAGAACTTAGATAAAAACCAGAACAGTCGTTTATTCGGGACCTGCATTTATGTGTCAAAATGTGTTCCTACACCAGGCCAGTAAACGGGGTAGGCGGCTATTTGGGACTCTGCTATTAATTAAGTTTTACAGTATTCAACATAGTTACGAAATGTGTTCTGTATAGCAGTTTGTCCATTTGGGCTACTGTAGAAACATTCCGATTTCCATGTAAGGGGACTCTGGGTGTATGCAGATAGAAATGGATCATTCTAAGGTAATAAAAACATAATGGTTCATTACGTAAGGTCTTTATACACCATTGAAAACATAGTTATGGATTACATTTTGTATTTCTGTCAATAGATCCTCCTAAATATTACACACTGGACCGTTACAGCTTTTTGCCAGTCAACCACTTTAAAGCTTTTATCAGGAAGCAGCTTTATCTTTTATTTTTAGATAGTCGCTTTGATGATGCTAGCTCCTTGATGTGCTTACTTTGACTTTCAATTTGTCAGTTGAAAGAAAATGAAACAACATTTTTACAGCAAAATTTTCTGTTGAAATAATTTATAATAACAAAATATTATATAAAATATGTGAGGATTTTTACTTTACTTTGTGTTATAGCATTGTAAATTCAATAATTTGGGGGTTTGAACTGGTCGGACCATTTATCAAAAACAAAAGACACACACACAAAACAACTTATCAACAGAACCGTTAGCTTGTTGGCCCTAGCAGCATAGTAGGTCCAAACTTTGCTTTCAGGAACTGAGTTGCAGAATTGAAAGGAAAGGAGGTATTTATCACTGGATTGGTAACAGCTGTTAATAAATAAGCAGATAAGCAATGATGGTAAAAAGGCAAAGCATCTCTTCAGAAGTCAGAGGACCTCAATGGTGAAAAAAATTATCTTTTAGCTGGAAAACACTCCGTTTGTTACCCTTTCATTTCTAATTGACCCATGTTCACTGCCCTTGTGATTTAATTTCACACTTGCCATGCTTAAACACACACACACACACACACACACAAAACTCACTATAGCAGCTCTCGCAGGCTCTGCCCCCTCCTGCTGCATGGTAAGCCCCAGGGCCCGCTCCATTCACTGTCGCCATTTTGCCATTGGTCATTGAGATCTGGTTGGGGTTGGGCTTGTTACTGTCGCAGAAAATAAAAGGAAGAGATTTAACAGACTGACTTCAGCAGCTGACTTCTGCAGTGTTTTAAATCAGAAATATGAATTATGCATAAAATAATGATTTTCTTGCAGTCACAGATACAGTTATAGCACCATCTATAAATGTGAAATTAAGTGACTTACTATGTGGGGATATAAACCTGCTTCAGTTTGCTCTCTGCCTCTGCTGCCTTCAGTCTCTTCTGCTCAGAGAGATAGTGGATTGATTTTGTTAATAACAAAAGAAGTCAACAGCAAAAATCCTCAGGCAGCCTGAAAATAAGACTGCATGATTACAAAGTCAGTCATTTAATGTGTTAATGAATTTCAAAAAAAAGGTGGCATTCCCTTCTTCTTGACATGCAATAGTTTTCAGTCACCCTCCACTGATAATCTATACAGCTAAATCACATGAAAAATGCTTTGTCAGACCATCTTGTAGATTGACACTGTTATCCAAAGTGACTTGTTCTCCAACACTCACCCTCACTCTTGCTTATTTGACAACTTTCTAAGCTTTTTCTGCACGCAAAATTTACCTCACTTATTTACAGTTTATTGTCCCCTTAAAGTTGCAGTCGGCAACAACTGAAAATAGAACGCAAAACCTACCGAGTCTCTCGCTCTTTGCTGCTCACATCACTCCACTATGCCCCGCCCACCAAACCCACAAGCATCGAACATAATGAGCCTAAAGCTCCGCTTGGAGCTGAGACGCGTTCACCAAAGCGTTTTGTACTACATGCTGTTGTTGACAAAGGGAGTTTGGGCAGTTCTTTCATTGCTGGTGATTGTTTTGCAAAACTTCTGAAGCCGCGAGCTGAAGATACTAAGTTTGACAGAGTGAGAGCACGCGCAAGGAAGAGGGGCTGTGCAGCGTGTGCAAGAGCAGTGATTGACACTGCGTTAGAGACTGCTCCTGGCTCTGATTGGTTGTTTTGTTCAGGGAGAGGTGGATTCTTATAGATGGCATCAGTGACAGTTTTAGCAAATAGACAAAAACGATTGCAGCTTTACAGGGGCACTCCATTAATTTTACACATTGAAAACATCTTGTCATGGGGAGTAGTACTCAGCCTGTAAAAACCGCTGTATAATTTCTTCTGTGGCTCTGGAGGGAGGGAGCAGTCACAAACAAGTAGGTGCACAGAGTTTCAAAGACTAGAGCTTTTAACAGTCAGGTACGGGCCAATGAAAGATGCTATTGAGTTGTATTATGGGAATTGTGGAAGACAACATTTTTTTAAGTTTAAGTCGTACTCCAGACAAATGATTTCTTATCTTCTGCTACATCAATTTTAACTTTCTTTTTTAATCCGACTCTCAAAGTCCTCCAACTTTATGGAAGTGCAATACTAAATCACTGGGGTACCCATTCTCATTGCATTAGCCAAAAAAGAACAGAAGGCATGCAGATCATATCTACAGAAATATGTAACATAACTAATAAACAACGCATGAAATACATAAGCGTAAAAACCTAAAAGGCAGGACAAAACATCTTAAACTTTACAAACTTACCGTAGATTGTCGTCTTAAACACTATGCTTAAACATTACTTGCACACTGCTTATAAATAATTTTTCCGATTGCACGCAACGTGATCTGTTTTAGAGGCACATACGAGAGCCCATAGTGGGCAGGGATAATGAGCAGACTGCAACGCACACAGAGAGGAAAGTGTCTCACACACTTTCTCCGTTTTATTAAATCACACCCTTTTTGCGGTTATGTAATCACACGACGACATCGCGATTGTGATTACATTAATCGTGCAGCCCTGGAAATGTATTGTTTTCTTTGCTTGTGTAAACATTAATAAAGGGGCAATGCAAATGTTTTATTAGGTACGCTTTAAGGATCCACACAATGTGTTTTAGTGCAAAACACAGAATGCAAACAGAAACATTTGTTTATGAAAATGTTAAAACTGAAAATCTTTCTGATTTCCCCATCACAGCAGATCCCCATTAAAAAAATTTTTTGTTTTGAAAATAAAGAATTAGTCTCACCTGTTGCACATATCTGTCTGTGGTCTTCCACATGTAGTAGTACTCTATGATACTAGTCAGAGACTTCCATGGCAGCTTCACAAGAGGAAAGAATGAAGACGAGTGGCACGAGTGGAAGAAAGAGAGAGACAGAGAGCAAATTAATGATATTAATATCTCATGTTCTTGCCATCTGGGTGTGAAGGCCTTCATGTATATTCATGAGCGAGAGGCAGCGTGACCATAGAGGCTGAGAGAAAAAAAAAAATTACAGACTTTGCTTCGTTCTGAGCCCCAGACGAAAACCCACCCTCTCACACAGACACACGCGGTGATTCACACATTTAATAAGTATTCATGAGCACCTGGTGCCACCGCAGACATCTATATCCCGCCTTTATTGTACTGTATAGGTAGATGGTGGGAAGGAAAGTTCAATACAATCAAATAGTCACCCACTGTGGGCTTGAAAGGCACTGTTAAAATTGGTAATTTTGTCCTTCACAGAGCAGCAGCTGCGGTCAGCTTGAATTCATGCACATTACATGTCCCACTGGGTCCCATGTTCTCACTGAGGAGGAAGAAGTATCAAAACATCCACAGGAACTTCTCAAATCTATCCTGCAGCATAATCAAAATTCTCCACTGTCCATCAGTATGATAAGAAAGTTTCAAAAAGCCACATTTTCCACCAAATTACAGATAAACACACAACTTCTGTTTGGGGCTTCCGCAGTGATGGGTTTTACTTTGGTCATTTGGGATTACATTTGGTTTTGTTTCACAAAGCATACAACAATCAAAAAAGTTGATTCAGTTGTAGGTTTCTCTGAAGATACTGAAATGGACAAACTGGATGTTAAGAAAGCACGTGGCATGTTTTTCCTGTTCTAGCTGTCTCTTCTCATGAGGATAAAAAAACCCTCATTATTATTACATTCAGTTTGGAGTCCAGGGGGAAAAAATATTAGCCACATTTAGGGCTGGCTGATATACCTATAACTTGCTTTGCATCCAGTTCATTTGCAGGTAGAATTATTGTTGACTTGTTGAATAATATTAGCAAAAAACTCAATACCACAAATAAAATATTTAAAATTACTAAATCAAACAAAGAATAATAAATGTGGCACCAGAGGCCTGACATCCCACCGATACTGACTGACTTTACACAAGCTAATTCTAGTTATAAACACACTTACAAAGTCTTGTCGGATATCGTTGAAGTCTTTTCCGTATTTCTCTAGTGCCTCTTCGAACATGGCTGCTTCCGAGGCACTCCACTCCTCCATCTCATCCCTGCAGAGCACTGGGCCGCCCGCCGGGACCAGTACGCTCAGCGCACTGGACAGGTCGTAATTATGGCGATGCAGTGTGTCCATGGCATGGAACTGCAACCAATAGACACAGAAAGAGGTTATAATCTATCATCTAAGTCACAATCAGGTAATGCAGGGTGAGTGTGCCTTAATGTGTGTCCAACAGACCAGTGTGATATCTCGTGAGGCTGCAGCTGCACTCATGTGTAAGCTTGGCTGTCTAACTGAACTGCTGCAGTCCAACGCTCGAGCAAAGGTCCCAACCGCTCTGAAAAAATAAACACAAACATACAGAATATATATTAATATTCACATACCAATTAATTACAGTATTATTATAAATCTTCGTCATTAAGGCTTGTTTTAAAAAATAAAATAAATAACCACATACAGACGTACAACTCAGAATATGCTTCCAGAATATGCTTCTGATAGGGTGCAAAAAATGGCACACAAACAAATGACCCGATCAATTATAATTTGTAATATTTTCACAGATTTAAACATAAATTTGAATGCGATTTTCATCCATTTTATATCCAAAATAAAATGCATTGAAATAAAAGGTCCTCTAATTTTTCTGTCTGGACAATCTGAGTTGCTGCATGTCAAAGAGTGCATAAAGGTGCAATGCCCTTTTAGAGTTAATCCACGGATGAGTTATACATTCATATGCAGTAATTTTCTACCACATTTCATCTACAAACTAAAAAAATAAAAAAACTCCCAGCAGTAGGAGTGCAACAAATCACAAAACTCACGGTCCGGATCATGTTTTTGAATCACAGAGCGGATAATATTTAAGATCAGCAAAAAATAAAAAGGTTAGGGTTAAACTAATTCACTACTTTGGCTCTGATGTGGCCGCTTCTCTCTGGCCCAATCCCAATGTCCCCCCTAAGCCCTGAACCCTCAGACTTTACTGACGTCACTTGGAAAGTGATTGAGTTTAAGAGGCTGCACTGGCTCAAAATGTTGTCAACAGGAACATGACAGCCCTTTGCCACTTTATCACGTTACCTTGACGACGCTGAAACATGTTGCACACTTTTTATTTTATGTTTTTGCCTCATTTTTAAGTCCTGCAGGCTCTCGCCCTACAGAGTGCAGGAGAGGTAGCCTAAATGTAAATATATATTTGTCAATAAACAATACACTATTGTTGGTCAAACAGCATCATTAAGCAAAAACTAAAATAAATAGCTGAATAAACTAAGTATGTAATAAGGTGATTGCATTCCTCTGACTTCATGTGTTCTATGCAGCATCTTAAGTTAAGAAAACTTTCAACAATTTTAATATCAGCGTTGGTGTCGCTTGTTTGTTTACTGTTTTCTTCTTCTCTTATAACACGGATTTGCCGTGATATTTCTCTTGCTTCCGAGCTTCCCCTGGTAACCCCTGTGTTTCACGCCATACCACTATGAACTGTTGGCAATTCCCTCAGCCAAAGTCTGCAGAAATGCGGACTTGACGATTTGGCAAAGGGACAGCCCTAAGCCCTCATGGACTTCCCGGGAACGCGCCTCAAAGTCTGAGAGTCTGTGAGGGTGGACATTGGGATTGGGCCACTGTCTGTAGTGACCACTTTGTAGTCTCGCTCAATGTCCCGCCCACAGCATCTTATTGGTTACACGTCGCGAGTAGTAGCCTGAAGTCTGCTGTGCCACAGATGGACAAAGAGACTGTGCTGCTCCAGTGAGCGAGGGGAGCTGTGTGTCAAAAGGATGGCAAGGCAGCATATCACTGTAGCTGAAAAAAACATCACAATCTTATGATCCATTTCTGTGACGAAAAGCAAGCCCAGTGTCCCAGTTATACTTCTGGAAATGACCTAAATCACAGCCTACGGGATTTTACTCAATAGCTTTTAATTCAGTCGCTCTCCCCTAACCCAATCACAACGCTAGTTAAACATGCATCTGTCTTATCTGTCTTTTCACTGCAACTCTGCATTGCAACCTACAATTATTACTTCAGTAACTTAACAGCAACAGTAAAACTGTTCTTCACACTATGATGGTTAAACTTTGCAGTTTACCTGTGTATCAAACCGTTGGGGGTATCTGTACGGATCACAGCTCAATTGCGATCTGTTTCACCACTACATAGCAGCGAGGATCCTCCTATTACTTTTTTACTTTAAATTGTTCCATCTGTCTGTCTAAGTTTAAGTAGTTGCAGCTGTAGACTGCAAGTTCATAACATGCTGCTACATGAAACTGACCTTTACACTGACAACATTCAGACCCACTCGACAGACGTGAAAGGTCTTACCGTGCCACTACTAGGAATTGGTCTATCTGTTTGTTGGTGAGTGGACACTCTGGATCCCACAGCTTCTCTTCTAGCTTGGACTGGTCCCTGTCATCCGCCTCACCTGCAGGACACACAGAGACAAAAGCTACCACTAGTGGAATATAAAAACCAGTTACAGCTGTTTCATTTCTGTGCGTTGTTATTATCCATTAAATCCTTGTGCAAGAAAAAGCCTCTACATTGGTTCAATATTTATTGATTTGCTGTAGTACAAACCTTTTTTTATGTCCTGCCCCATCCAGGTTGTGATTGGTCAGTTGATAAAAAGTGACTGACAAGCACATGGCACACTTTTTTTTTTTTAAATTCAATAAATAGAGCTAGTAGCTTGCTACTATCTGTAAATTATGTTGTAAATGTATTGTATGTAGATACTGAACAGGAGAGCGCTTTTGACAAAATGATTGGTTTCTTCCACAATTAACTGTGTACATATTCATCTCCATGTACAGTAGTAGCTCTATCTTCTTCAAGCCTGTCTAATATGGGTCACGATGAAAGGGAATGGTAATTTTTGCATTCAATTTAGATGATGATGTGATTTTTATTGCAGTCTGTATCAAACAAGCATGCTCCCTTTGATAATAAGTCAATTATTATTATTAGTTCAGTGTCAAAGAGGCTTAAAATCAATATCACTCTTGCGTCAAGCATGGACACTCAAAACAAGAGTGTCAATCATGTGCTTTAACACCAACTAAACCTCCTATTTTTCGTCAACAAGAGAAATAAAACTGCTGTCGTCTCCATTATTGGAATACAATAAATCAGGTGCAGTTCTGACTTACCCTCTTGTAGCATTTCAGGTACGTCTGCCTGAAAACGCGGTCCTACTCTGATCTCTCCTTTGTCGGCCAGAAGGGTTTTCTGTGTTGGGTCATATACCAGGGAGTAGAAGAATGTATCCTAGAAAAAAAACAAACAAACAAACAAAAAAAATACACATCACCCTCCATATTTAAAGTCAAGCCCTCCCCCCCCCGCTGGCGAACTCAATTATTTCTCTATTCTCTACAGCTGAACCTTAAACTTGAAGTTTAACTTGAACTTCAACATGCCCTGGCATTCCCAGTGTGAAATTAAGGATGAAAGACTGTAAGATCACCTTTTAAGCCAAAAATTCCTAATATATACTCTGGTTACACCTTCTTGAAAGTGAGGATTTGCTGCTTTCTTTGTCTTATGTGATTTGTAAACGTAATAGTTTTAGTCTTGAGATGTTGGTAAGACAACGAGTAATCTAACACCATCATCTTGGGCTATTTTCTTACATTTTATGGACTAAATGATAAACCAAGAAAATAATCGGCTGGTTAATCAATGAAAATTACGTTTTGACACCTTCTCTGAACATAAACCAGTAAGAGATCCAAGTTTTCTTTTCTCTGACTCACCTCTTTGTCAAGGTATGAAAGAACGGCTTCAGTCTCATTCAATAACGCGACACTACACTTCCCCCTAATTGGGAGAGAGGGAGGGAACAAGAACCACGTAAAACACAGATACAGGAAGTGAGCCGCACTCGATTAGCCTTTTCATGGCTGGATGAGTGACTATCCATGAGCACTGCCTGCAGATGAAATGTAGGATCCAGTGTGCGCGCGTGTCAGTACCTGATGTGTGTCGCAGGTAAACTCTCATACTGCCGGGAGAGGAAGAGCTCTCTGTGGCGAAGCTGGTGTTTCTGTTTTTCTGTTAGGTCTGTCTCTGTCGGGCTTTCCTTCTCTTCTTCCAACTCCTCTGCAAAAGGCATACACAAAGGAGAAACTTACATCAAAAAACATATTAAAAGAGATACAGATATTATTAAAAATGGTATCCATGCGTCTCAGAGGCAAGTAGAAGAAAAATGAAACATGAAAAAGTGGCTTACCTGTGACATAAAATTAATGACCAACAGATTTTCAAAGTCAAATGGTTTCAGCCAAATTGATCCATTTATACAAGATCACATAATGATATTTCATAACTATACTGTCTTCAGATTTAAAACATTCGGCTGGTAAAATGGCTCTCAAGGGCTTTCCAATCACAAACTATTGCTGCCATCCATTTATAGAGGACCAAGCTATTATGCTCAGGACTATTACTAGAAATGTAATTTTAAGGACAGTGTTCATCCATAAATACTCGATTACGTGGTTTGCTGCAGTTGAGTCAGCACACAATGCCACGCAGCAAACAAACTTTCAAATCACTGTTACACAGTGCAGGCATATACTTAGATAAATGAAGATCATCTGCCATTGGCAACACCCTATTATCACACCAGATGTTTTCACAAGCTCGTACTGGCACTAGTACGGCTTCACATCCCTGTTAGAAAATTCTACAGAGGCCCAGATTCTCAATTTCCAATGTCCCGCTATATCACACTTTAAAACTGGCAGTATGCTTTTTCACAAGTGCTTATCGAATGGTCTGTAACTTTCCGATACCAACAATCTAACATTCCCACCACTTCACACCATCACTGGCCGGCTGTGCGGAGGTGAAAAACCGAGTGCAACACTATGAATGTCTTCCAGGGGAGATCAGAAGCCCTTATCCCCCCATTTAACTGTTACTGCATCTCCCTCTCTATGATGGCACAGCTTTTCACCTTACCTTTTAGTGTGAGGAATAACTGTAAACACTTGATTTCCAAAGTGTGCTCAGAAATGTCATACAAACTATTTCTATTCCAGCATAAGCCGACTGCACCGTGGTGTGACAGTCTGTGACCGTGTGCATTTCCACTGCGGCCTCACAGCAGGGGACAACTCTTAAAGGCCGTCATGTGCTCAAAAGAAACTAGTCTGTACAAACAAGTTAGAAGACGAAAGTGTTTTTAGTTGTTTCGAACAGCCACACTCAAAGGCGGGGGTAGGTAAAACCATCTGTCACAGACACATTTGGACAGTCTTTCCTTGAGGGCAGTCATGGTGTTGCAACCATTAGTACACACAAAAAGCGACACAAGTAATAAGAGAGCTTTAGAGAAATCACAAAACGGGTTTCACATGCTGTACCACTCCCCAATGAGCAATTCAGCTGAAGCTTAGTGACCCCTTGACAGTCCACTCAACTGAGCAGTGTCTCTGGTTGGTCCACCACTCCTATATTATTTTGCTGTTCTTGCTTTTATCCGATAGCGGCCTCGCTGTTTTCTGATCTGCTCTCCTTTAGTCAGAGATGTAGTTCTACAAGGAAAGCGACAGCAAATGCTGGAAGTCTCTCTCTTAGTTGTCACTGAGGTTAGCAACTGTTTGCTAATTCATAGGTCTTCACAACAAGGTATGGACATTTCTTGGGGATTTGGTGGATGAGCGAATGTATGCAAATAATGCAAAGTAGGAATTGTAAGACAGGAAGCAGTCACAGGTTCTGTTTAGGTGTTTTAACCTAATTTGTGGATGCTTTGAGTGCTACAAACACACTTCTATTCACCTCTATTCTGTTGGGGAGGCAGAGGCAATCTCTGTGGCAGATACTTTAAAATATTGGCAATAAAACCAAAACTATCTGTATGGCTTGATACCATTGAGGGTAGCGTTGGCAAATCTATTTTTGAGATTTAGGTAGAGTGGCCTTAGCTCTCCTGTAGAGGTAATGTTTAGCCCTCAGTTGTTGCTTGAGGCCTTGGGATACAATGATTATTTAGAATGATCTACAAAATGGATTCAAATTTTGCTTCCAGGCCTCCAGAACAAGATATTTCAGCTTTGAATCCTACAAACTCTGCGCATTCTGTTTTATTCCTGTAAATCAGACTCACCTTTGTGAATGTTTGTTTTTTTGCAGTGTGGTAGGCAGTTTAAAATGTTGTTGTTTCTGTCTCTTCTGTTGACCAGCTGGTAGACTGACTTTAAATAGCTTATCCAAGTGGCACTGTACTGCCATGAATGCACATGTCCCTGCATATTGCATAGTTTATATTTTTGTGCATACGGTTGCTTTATGTTTACAGAGTCTAGCCAAATCAGCAAAACAGTTTTTACACAAAGTCTGACCACACAGAGAATAGTATTTCGCCACACAATTAATTTTTGTCTTTGTCAGTGCTGAGTTACGTAAATTCTTCAGTGGGTCTCCCACTGCTGACTCCTCATCTCAATAATCTACCTCAGAGCTGAGGGATTGCTTTGGAGGAGGGGGGTTGTTTTTTTTAATCTCCAGAAAGTGATCAATGATTTATTTTATTGTGATTAAAGGATAAAGTGAAACATCACTGGAAACAGGTTAAAGGCTCCCCACACAGAACAGGTGTTGTTGTAATAACAACACCACCTTCCTTTCATTCCTTCTTCTCATCATACAGCCACACTCACACTCCAGTTCTCTCAGACCTGGGAATAAGTAATTGAGAAATATAAAATATATAAAAATATGACTAGCAGCATATTTTCAAGTTGCACTGCAGTGCCTATTTACATGAAAACCCCTCATCAAATTGATAGTAAATGTGAAAAGGAGGTGCTAAGTGGAAACACAGCTGGAAATGTCTGCCTGACTGACATGCAGCAGAAAGCCCATAATGAAACTCACTGAAGACGCATGAATATATAAATGCACCTGACAACCATATAGCCCTGCTTGAAAAATGAGTGACAAGTCGATTATCTAAATTGTTGCGCAATCATTATCTGCTGATTGAGTAATCGTTTCAGCTATACATTTGAGGTTAATGTATATGTACAGATTCTGAAGAAACTGCACTGAATACTAAATGGCTGTTTAAATGTGTGACAGGAGTCACTACTCACTTGCATGTTTGTCTGCGAGCTGGATGAGGCTGTGGGAGATGTCTCTCCTTCTGTAGAAACAAACCACCTTGGCCTCCACGTTCCCACTGGCCGTCTGAAACAGAGAGAGGAGAGGGGTCCAGGTTGACGGAAAGAGGCAGCACAAACCTATAATTTACCAAGAGACCTGGCTACTCCGTGTGCTCGTCAAGCGATGCTGCTATGACAGGCTGACCATGGCAGCAAAATCGCTTTTAATCAGATGACTGATTGATTGCCTGGCTGTATAATTAGACCGACAGGCTTTAAGACTCAGCCAGTATTTAATGTCGTGGCCGATGGAAGAGTGAGTGGATGTGAGGGTATGAGGTTTGACAAAACTGCTTTGAACTTCTGCAGCTATGTAGGTAAGAACAAATGTATTTAATGTCAGTGTTCACCTGAAGGATATGGACAAAATAAGAGGAACCCTCACAATATATTGAAATACAATGCATTGCCACCATAAGCTATGATCACAAAAATGTTCAATCATTCATTCTGTTTCAGCCTCAACATACTGTATCTGTAGCAGTGCAACTGTTTTACATAGCATCAGACTGCAGGGAGTTCCTGTTCTTTTGTCCACCTCCTTTATCGAGAATGATAATCACAATGTCTCCTGTCTTTATTTTATAATGTACAGCCTCAATATGTCTTTTTCAGAGTGACAATGACCAGATCTGAAAACACACACCCCACACCATCTGATAATGACATGCATTTATCAAAATATCTTTGTACAAATAGAGTAAAGGAAAAGCTTTTCTCACACACCTGTTAAAGATGCTTCAATATTTAAACAAAGCACCATGTTCAGGGATCCTACACATTTTCCATTTCATAATTCCATACATTTCCTGACTCAAATTTCAGGACTTCTCGGTAGATTGAATGAATTGCCTAACATATGTACTTATAGATAGACAACTCAAAATGTTAACTATACCAGTACTAGTCTATGCACATCAAATAATTAGTAGTCTGGCTCACAGGAAGTAGGCTGTTGGTAAAAGCCTGTCATTCCTCCCCTTCCGATATCTGCTTGTTACAGTTTTCGAAATCCCTGTCGCTACATGAAACAACAAAAACAGCCGCTGAGCTAGCAACCTACACGCTGAAAACGGCAAGTTACCTCACCTGGTTGCTAATCGTATGAACAAAAACAAGCTTGCAGCTGTTACCTTGTCTTTTGTGAGGAATTGGCCTTTTTTGTCCACCAAAACAATTTTCCCCACGACACTATTTTGCAAGGGCACCATCACTGCGTCCTGGGCAGCACCAAGCCCAGGATGCAGCTACTGTGATTGGTTTAAAGAAATACAAAGAAGCCAGAGCATTGTTTTCCTTAGAGCAGAATGATAATTGATTCGGTCAGCCCTTTCTCCAGCACTGGCATAGCGCTAAAACAAAGTGTGTACATAGGTATATGGGAGACTAGATAATATTAGAATAAGAAGTATATCAGTATGTGATTCCTTAACTCTCATATTAACATTTTGTCCCATACTCTTCTTTTTTCCAAAACTTATTCAGGCCTGGAAATTACTAAACTTAAATTCCATACCTTTCCATACTGCGTAGGAACTCTGCATGTTTAGTTTTAGTTCTTAACTGCCACATGCCTAGGAAATAAGTTAAAACAGGCAACTCTACAACTAATCAAACACTGGCAGAAACCGAGCAGGAACAGAGAGAAATTCTGGCTATTCACCCTCAGGCATAAAAAGACGTAAACACACAAAACACCTCATTACCTTGTTGAGTTCTTCTATCCGGCGGATCAGGTAAGGGTTACTGGAGGAGTTCTCAAAAAATACATAATCTGCAACAGAAAACACACACTAGTCACTTCACAGTTTTAGATCACTGTAACGCTGCATTAACCTGTAGAACCAAGTGAAAATAAAAAGCTCAGTGGCTACTGTCATAAATTCTACATTAACAAATATAATCATTTTTTCCATTGACACTGTAAGAGAGGTGTTAATTCAGCTACATTTGTGATAGAGGTTGACAACGGTTCACTGCTACAGTAGAGCCAGAACTAGAAGCATGTATGTGTGTGAAGTCAGGACTATCAGCAATTGTTAAATCTAAAAGAGATGGTTAAAAAAACAGGATGTGAAATCCATTACTAAACAGGGTAATTGTAATGAGCAAGCACCACAGAGATTATCAGGTTACAAGTTAAACAGAAGGCAAAGGCAATTTAATGTGTACTGAAAGGTTAACAAAGCCTCAGAGAAAGTGAGCATACGGTTATGATTGTGTAAGATAAATAAATTGAGGACAGGAACATAGTTCATAATTGCGATTTTTCCACTGTTGAGCTACAGAATTTAGCACAATCATAACATCACCTAGCCTGAGGAGACAGAAACCCGGCCCTATTCAACTCTGCCTGAGCAGGATATACTAGCAACTTTGGAAAACTTCAATCCATGGCAAATGCTGCCTTCAAGTGCTGTCCAAAATATTGTAATTACTATGTTCAAGATACAAACAATTAAGTGAAAAGGTAAATAAGACTTGACATTCAACTTTGCAAATAAATATTATCAGTGTCTGCTTTAGGATTCAAATTATGTTCATCCCCATTATTATTGTAAAAGAATAAATTCCAACCCTGACATGTATGTTAAAAAGATCTTTAAGGGGCCAGTGTTCCTAAAAAGTAGGACTAGCTTTATGTATGAAGAGGTAACATTTCAAAAAGACAAGTTTCAAAAAAACAAAAACAACAACTTGAAAGCGCCAACACGTTTTTAAGTTCCATGAGTTGGAGTTTACAAAGAGCACCTGAATGCAGCAGGAGAGCTGCAGCTGAGGTGACTATGAACAACAAACGGATGCACATTGTAACGAAACTGATACGCCACTGATGAACTGTTGCCAATAAGATCACCTGGGCAAATATGCTTATTGATTATGTTCATGTGACAGGTCGTGCATCCTGTTCACAGTCTAAATGTGAGTTAGACGTGAAACCTGAGTACGTGTGAACAGAGGTGTTAGGTTTAATCCAACTGGACGCAACGACGCCATGAATCGAGACTATAATTTGATGCTGAATTCCAGTAGACTGCTAACAAGCTAACTTGCTAATTAATCGCGCTGGTGGTGACTTGTAGGTGGACATTGTGGCAATGCATGGCATGTAATGTTACAAAGATTGTTAGATGCATTGCTCAAATACTGTAAAGCGGGTGCTGCAGCTGCAATAATGGTAATCAGTGAAGCCATTGCTTGTGCTAACGTTAGCTAAATGAGGACTCGTACTAATGGCTGCATGCCAGAAGAGGCAAATACAAAGGCAGCCTCAGACTGCCCGTGGTAACATTTTAACAACCTTTTAAACACATGTCTAGTCGAGAGGTGCCACAGCGTGGCAGTTTCCCGTATCACTGGTCTACTTATCCGAAAACCAAAGACGAACAAAGGTGCCGACAATTGAAATATGTTTACATTGTTAAGCTAGCTATTTAGCAAGCTGGCGGCTAGCTGCTGTGGCCACGACAGACGCGAGGCCTGACCCATTTTGAATCCCAAATATTTAGAAATTCTCACCTTCCTGCTCCAACTTAATGCATCTCTGCTAGTGTAGCACAGCCGAATCTCACTATTAGGTGCAAACCAACCAATATAACTCTACATAATCCCCAGGGGATGCATAACTGGAAGGGTTTCTGTTTGATAAAAAGATCCACATTGACATACATACCTCCGACCCGGTACATGTTGGCCGCCATTTCTGCCCTCCCGGAGTGTTAACGTAAACCATAAACTAAGAGGAATATAATAAATTAATAAAACCCAGCTTCTAAAAAGGTAAAAGGTGCGATCAATTATGATCGTCGAGACTCCGGATGTCTGCCCAATCGGAAGAATTTTGCCAAATCAAACCCCCCCCCTCCTCCTTCCTAGGATTCACTGTTCCCTTTACAATACAGTGAACTCACGGCAGCCAAAAGAAGTCGGATCAACCCGAAAAACCACTGACTGGTGACGTTGAGAGGAGGCGTGCACGCGTAAACACACACACACGCACATGCACAGACACGCGCACATACACAAACACGTTACCCTTAAAATAATACTAATATTAAATAAAACGTGTGTGCGTAATTTAGGCTATTCCAAATGCAACTAAATTGAAGCTATGCACCAAGTGGCCATAAAGATATCGTTCTTACCTGTTTATCATAATAATATCAATATATCATAATACGATATTATACAAACTTATCAAACTTAACATAAATCCCTAAAAGGTTATCACAATTATTTGGATCATTTTTGATGATTATTTTGAATGTGCTTCTGTGTATTAGGGGTAATAGCCTACACTGTAAGATCCACTCACTAACATGTTTGTTCTGTTTTATATCTAAAGAAACAGCTTCTATTTTGGAGATAAATGTGTGTAAAATAACGCTCTATAGTTTAACTGTATGAGTTTTTCTCTTTCCGTGCGTGCGCCCGTGCGCGCCCATGTGACATCATTGATAGGATTGGCTCCCCCTGACTGGGGTGGAGAGTCTCTTTTACAGGCTACAGAGGGAGAAGAAGAGGAGAGAGGGACAGAGGGAATAGTTTCCATCAGCCACGAAGCTCGGCGCAGGGCCACCTCCACTCAGAGCGAGCCACGCCCCGGGGGACAGGGGAGACTGTGGGCCCCCAGGTGTCCAAACTTCTGGTATGAAAAGGAAAATGGACGATGAAGAGGAGTTTTAGTTAGGTTACATGTTGACAAGATGAAGTTCGGGAAGAGCATCTGTGTGCTCAACGTAGGGGGAACCCGGTACGCCTTCACCCGTGAAGTGATCAGGGATTTCCCTCTCCGGCGCGTCAGCCGCCTGCATGCCTGCGCAACCGAGAAAGAGGTTCTTGAACTGTGCGACGACTACGACCGGGACCGGAATGAGTTTTTCTTCGACCGCCACGCGCAGGCTTTCGTGTTCATCATGCTGTACGTGCGCTCCGGTAAACTCCGCTTTGTCCCCGGTGTGTGTGAGCTGTCCTTCTACACAGAGATGCTCTACTGGGGACTGGAGAGCGCGCACTTGGACTCCTGCTGCCAGAAACGCCTGGACGACAGGATGTCAGAGATTGGACTGGACAGTCTGTCCGAAGCAGACGTCAGAGTGTCGGAGGATGGGTCAGTGAACCCGGGCGAGACAGTGCAAGGGACTGCGCTCACCGGTCGCGCAAGATGGGTCGAGAAGATGCGCAAGGCATTCGAGGAGCCCAACTCTTCGCTTGCGGCGCAGCTTTTGGCTTCAGTGTCCGTGATCTTTGTGATCGTTTCAATGATTATGCTGTGTGCTAGTACCCTGCCGGACTGGGATACAGCCAAGAGGAACACTGTGGAGGAGCACAGGTATGCAATAGTCAAGGGTCAGTTAAGTTTAGAAGAAGGGGCCCTTTCATGAGGAAAATGTTTAGGCGCAATGTGTGCGGATATGCTGGTGCGTTAAAGCCAGTAGTGACTAAATAAACACAGAGAGACACTTCTCATCTCATACCAGCGCCTGCATGCGTTTAAGCATCGATCAAACTCACTGCGCACTATCCATTTATTAGCCAGAAGGTTAATGCTTCATGACATATGTCCTATCCCAGGTTTTTGAGTCCTAACATGACGTTATCGGCTTTTTAGGGTCAAAACTTTGTCCTTGTGTTTAGTTATTTTGAGCCCCTTAAATCAATATAGTCGATGACAAGTTCCAGGCAGCACATTAAACATTAGGACCCTCACTTGTCAGACAAGCTCCCGTTTAAGCCAATCAATAACCAGTCTATATTATCTGTAAAAAGTGTAGTGTTAATTATTACACAGACAGCCACTTTGCTCTGCTCCCACCACACCTCCATCCCCATCACAATTAATTTGAATATCTTTATTGGCTTGGTTAGTTTACATTACACAAGAAGGATAAACACATCACATACATAATATTCCAGTAGGTAATGACTTGAAAGAAGAAGCCATGCAGAGGGGTTATATATTAGTGTAAGCAAACAAAAAGGAATTAAGCCACTTATGGGAATCACCTTCTATCTAAGTCAGCTTTTAAACTGTTATTTTGGCTTCAGTTTTTGGACACAATATGAAAAAGTGCACCTCTCTTTCAACATTATTTTGAGCACAGCCTGTCCTCTCTAGGAAGCCTGAGGCGGGCTTTCTCTATATAAGGCTAGGTTATGTTCACTCAGGCTGGAGATAGTTTTGGATCAGTTGCAGTGGTTAGGTAATCAACTAAAAGTGTAGTTTACTCGGGGTCAAAAGGATTCCAATTTAGTTTCATAGCAGTAGATGATGAAATTCTCTCAGTTGCTCTATAATTTGATTTGCTTTAATTGTGCTGCTGATGTAGTTATCCGTAGGCTCTGTGGCATTTGCTCGGCCTGACTGCTTCTATGTCAAATACAAGCACCACCTCACTCTAATTCAGTTTGATTGCCTTTGCTGTGCTAATCAATTGGATAATCATGTGCTTGTTTGTGTCCCACTCTCCTTGAAGGGTTATAATCCCACCCTCAGTGCAGTTTCCCAACAATTTTCTAGTCTCCTGTTCCTTACTGTATGTCTGTCCTCCTGCCTTTGTTTGCTTGTGTCAACTCTGAATTGCGTCAGACGTCTTCCATATTTCCCATCATTTAAACCACCCCTGCTTTGCTTCCTTTTTCATTTACTTGCCGAACAGTATCTCATCCATATCTCTGTGTAGCTCCTCTGCCACTTCCTGTTTACACTCTGTTTGGCTCATTTTTCTCCTCTCCTCTCTTCTCTGTAGGATAGTGGAGGCAGTGTGTATTGGCTGGTTTACAGCAGAGTGCATAGTGCGCTTTCTGGTGGCCAGAAACAAGTGGGACTTCCTCCGCAGGCCACTGAACATCATCGATGTTATTGCGATCACCCCCTACTATGTCACCATGGCGATGGCACGGGCAGGGATGCCAAGTGCTGGGCTCGGGGTTGTTGGGGTGATGCTGCGTGTGCTGAGGATGATGCGAGTGTTCTGGCTCATGAAGCTGGCCAGACACTTCCTGGGTCTGCAGACGCTGGGGCTGACACTCACGCGCTGCTACCGGGAGATGGTCATGCTGATGGTGTTTGTCTGCGTCGCCATGGCGATATACAGCGCTCTGGCCCAGCTGCTGGAGCACGGCTTGGACTTGGGAACGCAGAACCCGGATTACGCCAGCATTCCAGCCGCCGCCTGGTGGGTCATCATTTCCATGACCACGGTTGGGTACGGGGATGTGTATCCTGTGACAGTTGGGGGACGGGTGCTTGGAGGAATGTGCGTTGTGAGTGGCATTGTTCTCTTGGCACTGCCCATCACATTCATCTACCACAGTTTTGTACAGTGCTACCATGAACTCAAACTCCGCTCTGCCAGATACGCACGTAGCCTGTCAGCGGAGATACTGCAATGAACATGCATTTGTACTAAAACACCTATGCTCCTGCCTACATAAGACAAAAACTCAACAAACCAGTGGACTCTGCAGATCCCATTGTGAAATAAAGATCAGTGTTGGGCCCTGCCCTCTTTCCTGTCTAAAACTACACCTGATTTTATTTGGCCTGTTTTGTTCCTGCCTGTTGTGTTGATGATCTCTAATCATTGTCCTCAACCCAGCATGCTCTGTCTCCTTAACAACATGACTTGGGAAGAAGAAAACACACATAATTATTTATTTAACAGATACAGGCATAGTCAATCCAGTTTTGACAGTGGCTGTTGTTTACACTGTATTCCCATGGTTACAAAATTGGCAGAGACGGCTGCTTTTTTGTGTGCTGCATCAAGTGCTGTGTGTGTGTGTGTGTGTGTTTGTTTGTCTGGCTGTCAGCCTTTCACTTTGTCTAAGCTTTGCACCCAGATGGTACAAGTTACACAAGATTGATGTGTGACCTAGATGCATTCTGTTAAACCTGTGAAACATAAAGGAGTGAAAAAGTGAGTGCAAAGTGGGGATGGACAAGGGTTACACAGAGTGCTTAGTGTGTAGAAGGAGGTTAATAGAATATGGAGACAGGTCAGCAAGGACTACAAGGTGGCAGACAAATAAAGAAGCGACAGATATGCCAGGGCAGATGGAGTGTGAAATGGAGGATAAAAGATTATGGAACAAAAATGACAGAATGTGGAGTAAACCTGAGCACAAAGAATGAATAGGCAGAATGCGCATAGCTTTTCCATTTGCGAGTGAATGTAAGGCATTTTGTATTTCTGCATCTCCAAGGCAACCTCATCCTCAAATGTGTCAATCATAGTGGGTGATTTGTGTGCACACAAATAGGCCACATCCACACACACACCTCCTGTTTGGCATGTAGCATTTTTGTTCTGCAATTATTGGGAAAATGACATCACAGGATTAGTTGAAATTAATAGAAAAGAAAGAAAAATAAAGTGTGGGTGGGGGGCAATGCAGACACGTTTGCCCTTACCATGGTTTGCCAGGATGATATGATTTGTTTAAGAGACACATGATCCAAACAAACAAGTCAACACCTCTCCCACACAACAGTCTTTCTCTGCATCTCCTCTTCTCTTCCTCCTGATGCCATCAACCATCCTCTTTTCATGCATGCACACACACGCGCACGCCAGCCTCTTGCTCTTCTGTTGCAAAGGAAATTAAGCAATTAATGAGTCTGAGTCTGTTCATTATCTGTCGGTCCTTAAAATATAAAGTCTACATTTGTTATTTCCTCGTCAGCTTTGCAGCCTTGTATGAGTTTAGTGTCAGTATAAGAATTGTGTTATCAATGTGCTTTTTAAGTCACAAAAATTAAAGATAAGAAACATTTTATTATCTTGCATAAAACACATAATTTCCCATAATTCAACCCATGGGGCATAGCTTGTAGCCCAGTGAATTTTGGCCAGGCCTGATTGAGTCCATTAATCAAAACTTTTTCATCCGTAGACTATGGACTTGTAATTAATGTGATTAATGTGTGATTGTTTTATAATAAAATTACTCCCAGCAAAATGTCTTTGAATGTGTCATTGCTTATTAAAAATCAAACGCCATCATCTTCTTTCACAGTGTTGGAATATTGATCTTGATCCACGTCCCTTATTCCTAACCTAAAATAACCTTCTTAAAATAAATTATTTAATTCCACAAAGAATTACCTAGATAGGTGATAAATGGATCAGACATTTTTGGCAGATGGAGGTTGATGCGTCTTGATGTGATGACATATACACACCTTGAGGTGTCTTGCAGGCAATGGAACATTATGTTCAATGTGAGGAACACCTGAGCCCCCTGGCAAGGGCATTCAGTGTGCTCATTACATTCACAATAGGATGAACATTGTGCCACAGTCTAGTTCACAAAGTACTATTGTTAGGGTAAATCGACTCTGAATCACAAACTGCTAAAGCACTGTTGCCATGGTTCAGACCTTTTAAGCATGTTGCACATCTGTCGATGATTACTGAGGGCTTGTGTTTTGAGTCCTATATTGAGTCCTATGTACATTATACCTATACAGTAAATAGAAATACACACATGGGTCAAATTAAGCTGTTTCCCACCACAAATGTAAATGCTCCGTATTTGTATAGCGCCTTTCTAGTCGTTGCAACCACTCAAAGCGCTTTCACACTACATCGCATTCACCATTCATACACAGAGCCTATGTGCTCAAACATAAACTAACATTCACACACATTCATCCACAGGTGGAACAGCCACCAGGGGCATTTCGGGGTTCAGTATCTTGCCTAAGGACCCTTTGACATGCTGCCTGGAGGAGCCTGGGATTGAACCACCGATCTTTCGATTAACAGGCAACAGGCATCTTATCTTATTGGTGTTCAGCTGGGTCGATTATTCAGTGACCCTTCATGCCTTTAATGGAAGTATCTGCATTTTTTTAAGTTTCTCCTCTAATTTATTTGGATTTGTCTTTTATTTTGTTAGTTTGTCACACCCTTTTCATGTGTGAGTACCTTATGTTGTAAACTAAGCTAGAAACCAAAAGGACTAATTTATCTACAGCCATGCTGCATCATGGCACAGATGCTTTGAGTTAAATGCTAACCTAAGCATGCTAATATGCTCGCAATTCCAATGCTGATGTTGAAGTGAACATAAGAAGTGAACACAAAGTACATCTGAGGCTGATGCCATGATCTAGTGTTCTAGTCAAGACCGCCCATACCGAGACCAAGTCAAGGCAAGACCTGAGTTTATCGAGACCCAGACAAGACCAAAAAATTTTTTAGTTGCTGAGACCATGTCGAGACCAAGACCGGGTGAGGGCGAGACCGAGTAAAGACCAAGACCAGTTCCCCACATTACATGACACACAATAAAATGTGGAATGAGATCATAGGTACTTCTCAGATTCTCATGTTTACCTTGCATTTAACATTAGAGCTGAGTGATGTGGCCAAAAATTTTATCACGATAAAACATGTCATATCATTCAATATCAATAAGTAACACGATAAATGTCAAATGCAGATGGTAATTGTGGTTTTAAACTATTGTTTATGATCAGAACAAACACAAACAAAACCACCACATAGAGGACACTTCACTTCAACACTTCACAAATCTGAGAATATTCAAAACATTATGATAAAATCTTTTTTAAATCTTTTTGAGTTAAATTAAGAAAAATCCTTTCCTAGTCCCTTTTCCTCAACAAAATAAATATCTTACTAAATATCTTATTTAACAATTATCTCAAATGAATTAACTCGAACATTTATTAATCATTTGTTATATTCTTTAAGGTTGCACTGCAGAATTGTGTGTGTTTTCTTCTGGACGCTGCTTGACAGATTAATTGTTAATAGTTTAAATAGCTAAATATTATTCCAAATATCTTGCTGACAAATCCTCCTGCTCCCAGACAGCCACATCTTCTCCTGTCTCCCCCATTCACTTTCTTGGAGTGCATCTGAAGGTGGCGTTATTGGTTGCATTTGAAGCAATAAGTTTTACATCCAATAAAAGTAAGTAAATCACACAATGCAAAAGCAATTTATTTTTATTTCCAAAGTTATGGTCTTGACTGGTTCTGAAATAAAATCCCGATTCCTCAATGTCCGAGATGGCGACAAAACCGAGTACAAATGTAGTCGAGTCCGAGACCATCAAATAGGCGTCTTAAGACCGGTCTCGAACACTACCATGACCAAATCACCAAAGTCATTAGTATTCAGCATTTGGAGACCATGGATATCTATACATATTGTAATGGAAATCCATCCATCCATAATTGTTGAGACATTTCACTAAAAAACAACAATGTTAACCTAATTGTGGCACTAGGGGAAAAGTAAAGGGATTACCAGAGTCAGTATGATTTATCCTCAGAAGGCCATAAACATTGTAACAAATTTCATGACAATCTATCCAATAAAAGATATTTTAGTCTGGAAAAAAGTTCCAGATTATTATTATCCAAAAGCCATAACAGCACTAAACACTACTTAAATAATGCAATATTAAGGAATGAATCTTGAAGTGGATTGCCATGTGTGTATGATGTGTTTTTACTTTCCTTTTAGAATCTTCTTTCTCTTTTTTAAAATATATTTTATAGTTACTTTTAGAGGCTCTTTATATTTATAAACCTGTTTGTACTTTACTGATGTTGCACTGATCAGATTGCATTCAGTTTCGTTGTACATGTGCATTGACAATAAATATATTTTATTCTCTACCATATTGAAGAGAATATGGTAGAGAATAAAAAACCCAGTTTAGTTTGTATCATGGGTGCTTTAACCCTCTGATTGCAGCCTGATGGATGACCTGTAGACACTATTCAGGGCTTTAAAAAAAAGAAATATTTTATTTTGAACCGGCAGCGTAGGGCCAGCTGCCTGCTACGTCACTTTCCCTCGACGGTCGCAGCAGGAAGGCCCTTTACCGGTTGATTTTGTTGTGGATGACACTTTTCACCGTCCTTCAGCAGTAAAATGTACTACAAGTTCAGCGGGTTTACCCAGAAACTGACGGGATCTGCACCTACAGCCGCCTACAGCCCTCAGGTGAGACCGGGAAGCGGCGTGTCGGTGAGAGACCGAGTCGGTAACCGCCGGGATGACCTTCGTGTCATTGTGTTGGATAACGACCCAGTATTGGCTTTTCTGTTTTAATGTTAGCTATTTTCACTTCCCATGAAGAGATTTAAAAGTCTCCAGTGCATTTAAATGTACAGGCATGTGTCTTAAATCCCAAACGTGCCGTAGTTTAAGTTACATTACGTGTTTTCTCGGTTGAAAAATAACCAGTAGTTTCCTATCTTGTTATTAACTCACACGGTATTTAAAGGTCACAGCTATCTTCATCTGAACTTAATTTTGGCTATTTCATTCTCCAAATGTGTTGAAAATGTAACGTTGGAAAACGTTCAGACAAACCATAAAAAGCCAGTGGCCTTTGTTCCTGTCTTGAAAACTGCCTGATCAGATAACCTTTTATTTAACATTTTATCCGGAAAGGTTATTTCCTAAATATGGATCTGGCCTTCCTGTGACTTTACAGCCAATTTCGGAATTCAGTGGCCTCTCATAGCATCTGCCAGATGTGACCTTTGTTATTGCTCCTCTGTCCTTTACACTGGAGTGTCCGTGTTATATTGTGATAGTGGGTGATGCTGCCTTCAAGCTCTCCTGTGTATGAAGTTTGTGATCAGTCACTTATCCAACATTTAAGTTATTTTTAATAGGAAGAAAAATGTCCTTGTAACATAAATATTGTCTTGTAATTAAACAAAATATAAAGAGAGAGAGAGAACTATACTGTGCTGTTTGAAATGTTTTTTGCCAGATGTTAACATAGGGCAGTGGTATCCAAATCTGGTCCTTGTACAAAAAGTTGGCCCAAAGTTTTCAGTGTTTTTATATTAAAATGTTTGATAACAATGTAAATACAAGGCTCATATAAGTTTCTCATAAGACAGGCTGCCTGAGTCCATGGTGCTGAATGAAGTCTAACAAACTTATCAGATGTATAATGCATAAATAATATTATGTAGCCTGTTTGACCAGAACTGAATTGTTTCAACAACAGCACTTTTATTAAACCATAAATGAAACAGGCCACTGTTTTTATATGTTCAGTCTGCTGAATTGGCACGTTTTTTCTTAGCAGATACCTGTAGTGCCACAAAGAGGACAAAAAGACTTCAGAGAGATTGTGAATGAAGTAACTCGTTGGCCGCTGAGCTTAACAAATCCGTGATCCAAAATGAAATTGGCTACCACACCCAATCCCTAAACCTTAGGACTCTAGTTACTAATGAGGAAAAATTACATCTACCCTTGGATATAATCCTGAAACAAAGTGTTAAAAATGTACATTATTCAAGAATTTAACACACACAACATATTGAACATATGTGTCTATTGCATGCCCCTAAAAACATAGGTGTCAAATTAACAATGCAGAAAAATTAAAGTTCATAGCTCAATTTAACTGCTGATCCCTGATATAGGGTAATAGAAAGTCTCTCCTTTACCAGCAGTTGTTGACACAGCCTCTTTTTACAACACCAACTGGAATATTGCGGCAACTGCAGCTTTCCCCACTTACTCACCAATTACCAATATTTAGAGCTGGTCATGAGACCTCAGCTTAGTCTATCCTTTAATAAGGATAGCATTTAAGACAGCAACATTCACAATTAGTCACTTTTTAGGAAATGCAGATTTTCCAGTTTAACTAACCTGCATGTGTTTAGGTAAGGGAACCGTCACCAGACACCTAAAGGCAACATTTTTGTTTCTCCTCCTTTGCAGTTTGCTTATTATTTCTCAGCATCTTGCACAGTGCAGCACATGTCCATCTGAAATAACAAGGAAAAGCTACAAAACGTAAAGGCGAATCATCTCTGTATTTCTGGTATAATGCACAAAGATGAGTTCCTGCTGTGAGCAGCTGTAGTTAAGCCTTCTCTTAAATGGCGAGTAAAAATAATCTGCTGTCAGTGCCTCTGCATTTTCATATGTCAGATTTAATTTCTCCGCTCCCACACCATCTGCCTCCACACTCTCTAACAAGGTAACGGGTCTCCCAGTGTGCTTCAAACCCAAGGTGGGTGAGAAGCTTATTCCAAGTGAGAGGATATTAAGGAATCGCACTTCTACTTCACTAACACCACAGTGTACCTCTGGTTTGTTTACCTAGTTTTAACTGTCAGAAAAGTAGAACAGCAGTATTAAAGTTAATAATTTTCCTAGACTGATACAACTGAATGGCTAAATAGCTGTTCCAAATCACACTGATCTACAATTTTAAGATTTCTGGGTGTGAAATGATAAAATGCCAAAAGAATAGTCATTTTACATCTTTTCTAGGAGCAAAGTTTGTCAGAAAATGTTGGTGTTAGGGCTGGACAATATGGGCAAAAATGATCTCACAATAAAAAGTTTCATATCTTTCGATATCGATAATTATCACAATAAGTATCAAATCGTTATTTCTTTCGAGTTTAAAGGGTGATTTTCGTTCCTGAGTGAAAGTTGAAGAAACCGGATGGTTAATTGTGGTTTAAACTTTTCTTTATAGTCAACACTTGAGGCCAAACACAAATCTGAAGTAGAACATTCAAAAAAAATAATGATAAAATCTTTGTCAACAAATATGCATGAGTACAATTAAATAAAAGCTTTGTCAGTCCTTTTTCCCTCAACAAAATTAATATCTTAATTAAAAAAAAGTCCTAAGTCATGTATGATTCAAGTGAATAAAGTCAAACATTTACTGAATATTTGTTGTATTGTTATTGAAAAAAATTATATCACGATATTTTTTGTTATTGTTTTATTGTCCAGCCCTAGTTGGTGTTAATGTCTACAGATATAATGTGTGTACAAAGGTCTGGCTGCATCTGACAGGGAACCCCAAAAATATTATTCATAACAAATTGAACAAGACAAAAAAGCTAGATGTTAATACATTTTAATTTGTTTGTTTATTTGTGTTGAACTGTTACTTGAGGTGCTTTTTAGCAATCTAAGCATTCACTTAATCAGTCTCACAGGAGAAGGTATAACGTGCAAGAAAAGATTTGTTTCAGTTTGGACTTTTAAGAGCATTTTCTGTTACCTTTACTATCAAAAAATCCTAATTAAGGAAAAAGGTTTTCACTGATCGTGACAACCTCGTCTCCTCTTTCCTCTGGAGCAGAGGTTTTTAAACTGAGAAGGAGGAGGGAGGGAGGGAGGTGAGGTGAGAGGAAAATCCTGCGTGAGGTGAAAGGGATAAGTGTACTCACACTTCTTCTCTGAGTCATATGTCAGTCTAATCTGAACAAACAGACATTATACACATATTTTTAGATTCAGTGAGACTTACACTTTCTGAGGATATATTATCTACAATGTTATTACAAGTAAATGTCCACAAATCCGCTTAAAAGTCATGGAAAAAAGGCACTCCATATAATTACAGAACTTGCCTAAGAATCACTGTGTATCCGTTATCACAAGTAATCCGTTGATAGCTGTTTGTATATCTACTGGCACATTACTAACAGGAACTGCTAATAGCCAATTTGGCAAATCTTTAATTGTGTGAATTTGTACACTCCCTAATCTGGCTAAACACTACTGGGCTAGTAACATCCAGAAGATTCTACAGTGGATGTCAACCAGGACCAGACTATTCAGCCTCACGTCGTTAATCTTCACACTCAGTGGTTTCTGCTCAATTGCCGTTATCTGCTAATACAAATCCAGTAGTTGACCAATCCCTCAGAATTTTTGCCACAATTCAGAAAGAATTTCACTTTATATCAGCTATATCTAACTCTTATTAATTTAGTTTCCTCCTGTTCAAATTTGGTATTTGTTACTGGTATTATACTAGTAGTACTAGTTTTAGACTTAAACATTTTAAACATTGCAAAACGCTTGGCATTCTCTATGATGATATTTTCTGTAGGACAGTGCAAAAGGTCTTGGTTTTCTCTACTGGCCAGGCACCTTATTGTTCCCATCCCTAAATTTGAAGATTGAGTCACGGAGGCACAAAACTGTATCAAGCTGGATCAAAAATAAATCCGCTAAGGTCTCGGAAAAAAATCTTTGAGAATGTTGGTTAAACAACCTTCATCCCCTCCCCTTCCTATTCTTTTCCCGTTTTAAAAGATTTACTTAAATTACAATTTTCATGAGAGGGCAGGTGGATAGATAGGGTTATTTGCTTTTTGTAGCTGTTAAATGCTGAAAGTTATAAAGGATCTGATAAAGTTTGTACTAGGATCCTAGTTCCATTCACTGTGAATCGAGTTTTTCACAGTAGTAAAACATGAAGAAGCCAGAGGGAGGTGAATAATTTTTATAGGTACTATAAATATGTCATAAGTAAATTTGTATGCGTGTATATTACTAATGTTGAATTAGAATTGTGCATTGTTGTGACCAGTTGGTTGTTTTTGTTCAGGGGCTGAGGCCAGGTGTGCCAGCAGAGTCCCCAACCATGATCTTTGCCACACCCACCAAGGTGGTGTCAGAGGCCGGGGCCACAGTGGAGTACATGGGAGCAAACAGGGTTCCTGACCTCCAGAGGATATTCCAGGTAATGAAGAACATAGTTAAAACAAAATGAATATATTTTTTCTTCCTGATTCTCAGTGAATTGGCTTTTGTTAATTCAAAGAAGTCCTGAGAGTAAAGGTTTGTGCCAAAGTGGCTGTCTGATGGATCAGACATTATCAGTCAAAGCACTGAAGATTTATTCATTTCAGGCAATGACTGGTATTTATTTCGCTCTGTTCTTAATGGCCTTCTGCTTCCCCCCTCTGTATTCATCACACAAGAGGCAGTGAGGGAAATAATAAGAGACTCTGAAGTTAGGCAGAGCAATCAATCAAACAAATGAAAATGGCAGTATTGATTGCTGCAATTTTCTAATTGCAAGATTTTGTTTTTATTAAAGCGAAGGTCTTCCAAATCAGATTACATACTGGAGAAAAACTTTTTCTTATAATGAAACTCTTTATTTTATTATTTCCAATAAAATATCTCACCAACAATTTTTAAGTTCTGAAAATGTCTGTGAAGATTCTCAGTCATCCAGGTCTTACTTATCCACGGTGGGTTAAAATCAAGGGCAACTGGACTTGGTTTGGCCTCTCATGAGAGGCTTGTTCACTTCTCACTAACTGGCAGGGAATCCCAGCTTTTTAACGTCTATGAGGTCATTATCAAGGTGATGGATATCGTTTAGTTTAATAGTGCCTGGCTGTTCTAACAACAGTCGTTATGGTTGTCAGTCACCTGAGACCATGTCTGAATGACCGTTGTCTGAATGTGAGCACGTGTTCAATCTCCTGGGAAGGGATGAAAGGACAGCGTTGTAAGTGGAGGATAAGTGGTGTTGCAGCCTCCTCTATTGATAGATGGTTCCTCTACTAGGGTGTAGATGGCCTCTTTGACTCCTCTTTCAAACCATCTGTCCTCCCTATCCAAAATATTTACATCGTTGTCCTCAAAAGAGTGTGCCGTTATCCTTCAAATGTGAGTAAACTGGAAGGTCTTGACATTCTAAAAATGTTTTTGTAGAAATAGAAGTGGATTTAGATATAGATAATAAGATAATTACTTAGAGGGATATGGTGTTCTGACACAAACAATATGGTGTTCTGACACAAACAATAAAAAATGTTAACGCTTTTGGTTGGATTAAATTGTACACTCTGTTCTTTTCATGATTTTATTTTTCACGTTTTCCTCCTTTCTTTTTTTTTCTCCAACCCTCCCCTGCGTCCCCACTCGGCCCCCTCCTGTTTCTTCTCTCAGACGTCAGACGGTATCCCCATTCATTTGAAGCGTGGCGTTCCCGACAGGCTACTGTACCGCACCACCATGGCTCTCACCGTAGGAGGTGCTCTCTACTGTCTGGTTGCTCTTTACATCGCAGCCCAGCCCAAAAAATAAGTGACCAACACAAGCCTGGGATCTTTCTGTAACATCTCTGACATGTTGCCGCTGCAATACATCAACCCAACATTCCCAGACTCCATCTGCCCTCACCACGCCACCTCTCGGGACTCATAGATGAGGATTATTCGCCGCCAGAACATCACAGCAACACTATAACAATAATGTCTGTCTTCTTTATAAGAAAAAAAATCAATAAATTTTAAGGGTAAACAAATATAAAAGATTCTCTGAGTTTAAGCCTTTTTTCCCCCATATTGTTTGTTTTCAACTCTACATCTGTTATAAGATGTCACTGAAGTGGCACTCACTGTTGCAGAGGTGTTATTATTTCCAGTTAACGGAAGATGCGGGGACATAATGCATGAAACTGTCTACAGGGTGTAGAGAGCTGCATCATCTCTCTGCTCTAACATTTGCCAAAATACAAGCGGAGACGTAAAGATTTTTTATGCTCACAGCTTTTGTGTTAGTGCACTGATTAGCATGTGTGGGCACGAGGGAGCAAGCATGATGGAGACACCCCGTCTGGAACATGGCTGCTGCTCACTTGGCTTAAGTACCGTCTCATACAGTATTTACGAGTGGGCCCTGGTGTGATGTCAGATGCTTCGCGCCGAGTTGGGAGGGAGGGAGGTTGTTTCAGACAGACATGTTGGTAGTCCCACATCAAGCTGTTGAAACACTGATGATAATCTAAGTCTCTGCATCGTCTCTTTTGCCTTGATGAATGTGGAATGTTTTTTTCTTCTTTTGCATCCTTTGATATTTTTAGGCAGTAGGTTGACATGGGCAACATAATACTTGTACAGAAACAGGGTCTTTCAAAGACGAAATGTGTTGCATCTGATATGGCAAAATACATTCTCTAATCAAGTTTTTAATACAATCCTGTGCCCCTGCGTTAAAAAGGAATATTTTTATATTAAAAAAGGACAAAAAGTATTGTTAATTATCAAAAATAAAAGTAGTTATTATGCAGAATGGCCCATTTCAGAATAATTGATATTACTGGATTATCATTATTGATGCATTATGTGTACATCAATTTAGGTGGAGGCTCGTAGCTTGTGTATTTCCTCCTGGGGATCAAGAAATAATTTTCTTAACCTATAATAATACTTTATTTGTTTATTATATTTTGTGTTATTAATCTGAATCTGCAAAGTTTCTAAAGTTATCAAATAAACGTAGTGGAGTAAAATATGAATTACAATATTTGCCTCTGAGATGTGGTGGAGTAGAAGGAGAAAGTAGCAGAAAATGATAATACTCCAGTATAGTACTTCGAAATTGTACATATGAGTATATGTATTTAGTTGCTTCCAAAAATACAGCTTTTTCCCAGTATTTTACACAAAAGTTTATTTAATAGAAATGACTGTCCCGGTGACTGATTATTTTAAAGAGATTCATCCTATTCACAAAGTTTATCCAGAATATTGCACAAGTGTACAGACCGCAATCAACTTCTATTCCAAACGTTTTCATTATTTCTTTTGCAATCTGTAGCCAAGGTTTATGAAAAAAAAAAATAGTTCAAAACAGTTAGGCTTTTATTAATTTTTTTTTTTTACCACACTGCCTCTGGCATTTATTGTGTCCATGAGAACCACTTTGTATAAATATAAATTTTTTTGAGTTACAACACTTTATATTGGGTTCTTCAAACAGGACCTTTAGTTGATCTTACCCGGGTATTCTCATGTCATTCTCAGATGTTTATTAGCTTTTTTATTCGTGATAGTAGATGTTTGCTGTCTTTAATCTTAAATACATAATTGAGAATATTGACATTAGGCTAAAACACAACATAATCAGTATAAATTATGACGACCCTCACAGGTTCAGGACGTGAATGATCTGAGGGAAGATACTCCTCCTCATCCTCTGTGTTTTGGCCTTCAGGCAGTGTGGATTAGATGGTTAATGGTGTCGTCCATGACTCTGGGTCAGAGGTAGTGAGGAGGTGATGAAGCCTCTCGAAGCACTTCACCACCACGAAGGTCAGAGTTCAGTCAAACTAATCATATGTTTCAATGCTAAAGCCCATGCTGAAAGCAAAAATAAGAACGAAGTGAAGATGACTGCAGTACAGCCCTGACAGAGCATCAAGATACCAAGTGTCTGCTGATTTCTGTGACTTCAGTCAAAAACTGTAAATGATTTGCAACAAATGTTAGATATGATGACTTTATTTTTGCAGTGCGCTCACTTAAAACTGGACCAGTTTCAACAAATGTTGTCCCAATCAGTTACATAGATATGAAAACAGGTTGAAAAACACAGAACGTAGCCTTTAAGGTTATGTTGTAGGTCCTGTTAGCTTAGTGTATTAGCATGCTAATATTTGCATAAATGCACAAAACACAGAGTATAGCAGAGGTGGATGGGAATGCCATTAGTTTTGGAGATATTGTCATAAACCAAAATATGAGAAAAACATTATTGATCCCTGAGAAATATTGGACTAATTCAGTGTTTGACAATGATGATGGGATGGCGCTAAAGGAAAAGTGAGTGGATCACCAGCATCATTACAGTTCATCCTGTGTGAACAACATGTCCGTACCAAACTTCATCTTATTGCAATCCATCCAATGGTGGTGAAGACATTTCCCTCAAAAACACAAATGTCAACCTGCTGGTGATGCCAGATAAAAAATCAGGGCATCACCAAAGTTGTTAGGATTCATCCTCTGGGAAATCTAAAGACATGCTGCTAGTGGGCAATCACAAGGCTACAGTTCCTACTTTGTTCATCTGATATTGTACAAACAAAAACACCCACATAAAGCGGACAGGCAGAACATTAAACTCTTACATGTGTGTTTAATTTAAAATCCAATTTACTGGAGTACAAAGCCAACTAAACAAAAAACTAAAGAAGATATTATGGATGCAAAAGTTTTATTTATTAAAATATGTCAACCCTGGACTTCCCTTTGTCATGGCATCAATACCTCACACCCTGGGGAAAACCTTATGATGGATAATTGATCTCAGCCCCGATTTGAAAATGAATAATTTGACCTTGTGGGAAATGAGTACCATTAATAACTAGAGCCACAATGCATAATTTGTGTTTTACTCCGAACATCCCATCCTACAAAGCACAGTGCAGAGGACAGATACAGTGCTTACATGCAAGTGTGTTCCAACTATGAGCTAGTGGTGGTGGTTGTATTAATATACAATGATTCTGCTGAAAATGCTATAGAAGAGCTGCAGACTCAATACATATAATACAATACAAAATATATTTAGATTTTATTTTTATTATGGCTAATGTCCAATAAATAGATACTGTTGATGTCTATGTTTATTGGTGACATAAATGTGTTGAGTTCCTGAATGTCTAGAATAGCACTAATTTATAATAAAATCACTACTCTCTATATAGTAATGTGGGTAAATGAATATTCTTTAAACTAAAAACACTTGGCATATCAAGCAATACCTTTAAACTGTGAGGTTCCATTCACTACAAACGGAAAACCTGTGGTGTGCCTTGTTGAAGAAATATAATTTGAGTATTGGCTGAATTAATAGCAGAAGAATTAATTAGACTAACCCTGCATTCATGTTGTGTTGGAATAGTTAAAAAAAAATGAGTTCACCACTTGGAAAATTTAAGTGAACGTGCTGTCAAGTCAGAAAAACAACTCGGAAAGTCTGCGGAAATTTTGGTACACGACCAATGAGTTTATATCATATTACACACAAAGATAGCAGCTGAAAATCAATGTTGGCTTAATGGTAAGAAGCTCACGCACGTAATTTGTGCTGTCCATGTTGAGTGACTTAGATCAGTTAAAACTGCTTGGTAGTTTCCATGTTGTTTACACATTAAAGCTCATGAACACTCTGAAGTCAGACGAACAACTTTCCAACTCACTTGGGACATGGGACCATCCGAGCAGCACATAAATGCACCACTATTTACAAAGGGGTGGACCTTGACCTAATTATTCTTTATTCCACAATATTCACAATCCACAAATTGATTGTTACCATGGCAACATGGCTCAGAGACAAGGGTGACTAACAACTCAGTCTATTTCCGTGCTTACTAGCTGGCATTAGACAAAAGTAAGGCTACTTCAACACTAATACATTTTCAGTTATCTCTATATAAACAAACGTTTTAACACTGTTTCAGAAATAAACTCTGTCCATACCAGAGACTGTATGTAAAGATGGACGACATGACAGATCTCCCAAAAGTGGGAGAAAGTGGAGCTGCATCGTCCATCGTTATGTAGGGTCTATGGTCTATACTAACATGCCTGAAAATGCTTAACAAATGATCATTCATGTACACTGGGCATGCATGTGACAGTGTAGCTACTCTGCAGTTGGTTGCAGTTGCAGAAAATACTAAGAATAAAGAACAGCAGTGGCGAAAAGTAAGATCAGAGATTTCTTTGCTTGGACCAACAACAATGTGTAACTATTATTTGTTTTCCATGTTGAATGGACCTATGAATTAACAACACTCTGCAGACCAGTCAAACACAGTGGTTCAACTGTGGCCCCATCCAAATGTTTTTAGTTTAAAAACGGAGAATTAAAACAAATACAATTTCTGCCCACACCAGCGTTTTAGCTGCATTTTAGACTTAGCATGACTTATAAGACCCAATCAGAGAACCAAGCTTGAGCGTCTGCGTCATTGATTCTCAAGTCCTCTGTTTTTGCTCATCTTCACTAAAACGCCCTCCGGAGTTTCAAAACGAAAAAACGGGGTCAGCAGCGTTTTCAAACTTCTCTGTTTTAGGTCTTTGTTTTCGTCATTTTAGTCTGGACAGGAGGTGAAAACGTAGCAAAAGGTCTCCGTTTTAAAACGAAAATGCAGTAGTGTGGATGGGGCCTGTGTTTTGCTTTTGATCCTTTAAACCTCTGGTTCGTGTAAGGCAGGCCTCCCCAGGGGGGCTCCAAAAAGTGTCAGGGGAGGCTCAGTGAATGGAAGAGAAACAATGTTACATCAGTTATTACATTCATTTTCAAAAGGAGATCACCTTAATAGCCTAAATGTGTGTGTGATTTGATTAAATACAGACTTCAAAGACACAGTAGTTTTGGGATACTGTTTTCCCCACTTTACCAAAGTCAGAAACTAATAAATACCTGAGGACAGACCTTTTTTATGCATTTGGTGTAGTCTGAAGTTATGTCAAACAGCAATATTAGGCTATCAATTGTTGGAATAACATAATCTTGATA